TATCAGCAGGAGTCCATATAGAGACCCCATCTGGGATTTAGTTTCTGTAAATGTTAATTGTATCTTAGTACTAAAATACTGACCTCTGTCTAGCTCATTTCCAGATATATTTACTTTTTTAAAAAACTCTTTTTTCCTTACTTCATTATTGAATATTAGTAAATGTTTATTTCTTAGAGGAAAATTCATAGAGTTCATGTTTTGTGATTTATTTTTTAATAGCAAATCTATCTTTTAGTATGAAAATACTGAAACAATCTGATCCTCCCTACCCCAATTTTTTTTCTGTTTTCGGTGGAATACACTTTATTGTTGGCCCGATATATTATAAATTCTGCTTGATGAGCACACATGTACATGGGCTGGCATATCTACCTAAGATGTTATCAGGGCTGATTTGGCTGAATAGATTGAAGGGCCGGAGCTTTATCCTTTAAAATGACTTTTTTTTTGGCCTCTCCATGGGATCTTAATTCCCTGACCAGGGATCAGACCTGGATCATCGGTAGTGAAAGCATGGATGCCTAACCACTGGCCCACCAGGGAATTCCCTTGAATGGGTTTTATTTTATTTATTTATTTATTTTTCTAATAAGTAGATTAAGCATGTTTTTCAAGTACTTATTTTAAGTGTATATCTTTTTTCCCCCCAAACTTTTTCTTTTGTGTTAGAGTATAACTAATTAACAGTGTTGTGGGAGTTTCAGGTGAACAGTGAAGGGACTCAGCCATACAGATTCTTGTATCCATTCTCCCCCAGACCTCCCTCCCATCCAGGCTGGCACATAACATTGAGTCAGGTTCCATGTACTATACTATAGGTCCTTGTTGGTTATCCATTTTTAATACAGCAGTGCGTGCGTGACCTTCCCAAACCCCCTAACTGTCCCTTCCCCCTGGCGACCATAAGCTTGTTTTCTAAGTCTGTGAGTCTCTTTCTGTCTTGTAAGTAAGTTCGTTTGTATCATTTCTTTTTAGATTCCAGGTATAAGGGATGTCATACAATATTTCTCTTTCTCTGTATGACTGACTTCACGCAGGGTAACACTCTCCAGGTCCATCCATGTTGCTGCAGATGGCCTTATTTCATTCTTTTTAGCAACTGAGTATTATTTCATTGCACGTGTGTACGTCGTCTTTGTCCATTTCTCTGTCGATGGACGTTTAGGTTGCTTCCATGTCTTGGCTATTGTAAGCAGTGCTGCAATGAACATTGGGGTGCATCCTTTTGGATCATGTTTTTTTCTGGATATATGCTCAGGAGTAGGATTGTAGGGTCATATGATAGCTCTATTTTTAGTTTTTTAAGGACCGTCAACATTGTTCTCCATAGTGGCATGACTGACTCGATGGACATGAGTTTGTGTAAGCTTCGGGAGCTGGTGATGGACAGGGAAGCTTGGTGTGCTGCAGTCCATGGGGTCTCAAAGAGTCAGACACGACCGAGCGACTGAGCTGGACTGGACTGATTACATTCCCACCAACAGTGTAGGAGGGTTCCCTTCTCTCTACAGCCTCTCCAGCATTTGTTGTTTGTGAATTTTTTTGATGATAGCCATTGAGTGACTTTTAGAAGAGTTGCAAACAAAATCATCAATTCTGTACTCTTTTTTCCTTATAGGATAATTGCTTTACAATATGGTGTTTGCCTTTGCCATATATCAACATGAATCAGCCACAGGTATACGTAGGCCCCTCCCTCCAGAGCCCCCTGCTCCCATCTCCCACCTTATCCCATCCCTCAAGGTTGTCACAGACTATTGGGTTGAGCTCCCTGTATTAAACAGCAAATTTCCACTTGGTATCTATTTTACATGTAGTAATGTATATGTTTCCATGCTGCTTTCTCAATTTGTCCCGGCCCCTCCTTCCCCTGCTGTGTCTACAAGTCTGTCCTCTATGTCTGTGTCTTCATTGCTGCTCTGCTCATTTCTTCATTGATTTATTTTTTTTTTTTGCATCTTAATTCAAGTAATAATTATGAACATTTATGTATTGTCTGTCTCATTAAAAATAATTTTAGTGATTCCTAAGCTAGTAGAATCTTACTGATTTGTAGTCCCCCTGAGGGAGAGGAAGAGGCATTTATTACTTAATTCTACTTCTCTGAATTAGAGGAAAATCTTAGCTTTGTAGTGATTAATAGTTTAAAGAGATTAAAAAAATGTTGATGAATTATGCTTTGTTATCTTTAAAAATATATACAGCTGGGATTTTGGGAGCTTCTACAAATGCTGCAGTAACACAGGGTGCATTCAAAAAGAATAATTCTAAAATATAGTCATTATGTACCTATGTTTTATGTTGTATCTAGCCACAGTAAAGTTTATAAGAGTTAAAATTCTGGGTTGGGTAATTAAAGTATACTTTTCTACTGGGAATTCTATAGTATGGAATTAAAACTTATCTTTTAAATTATTTTTTAAAAACCCTGAATAATTCTGGTTCATTAAGATCTTTTTTTTGCATCTATTCAAAATCTAAGTATAAAATCATTGTAAAATATGTATTGTTAGAATATACTACTTCTCTTAGGCTTTATTGATTGATCAGAAATGATGGCAGCGTGAAACTTGTGGTTATGATTTAAATTTAAGTGGAACTATTGCCATAGATTCATAGTATAATAACTCCAGAGTTACTTAGTATTAAACTGAATGTTGAATAGTATGAGGCCTATAAACTATTTAATATCATAGTGTTTATTGTGTAATTGGTATATGGTGATTTAAATGAAGTGCCCTGTAAGAGCTTTTGAGGCAGCTTTACAGTTATTTTTCTGGGAGTTAAATTAGCAGTGGCTCATTGGTAAAGAATTCTCCTGCCAAAGCAGGAGACATGGGTTTGATCCCTGGGTCAGGAAGATCCCTTGGAGGAGGAAATGGCAACTTACTCCAGTATTCTTGCCTGGGAAATCCCATGGACAGAGGAGCCTGGCAGGCTCCACGGGGTTGCAAAGAGTTGGGCTTGACTTAATGACTAAACAACAGCAATTCTTTTCTAGTAAGAACTATCTGAAGATTTGGGGAATGCTAAAATCAGTGTGCTTTAGGAGTAATCTCAGAAAGACAGTTGTGAAATATGATCAGAATTTATTGAATGGAAATATCATTAATTTTATTGTACAAAGTCTTTTGAACAAAGTCTATGAACAGAAGGGTAGTTAGCTTAGAAGACAGCAAAGGGAAACCCAAAACATGTGGAATTGGGTGACTGGCCTGTTGGGGGAGAATTTGTGATTTGTCTGTTTCCTGAGGTAGGCATGTCCTTATTATGGAGATGGATGTATGAGATTAGTTTAGTCTGATGTCATTACATATTTGAGTTATAATTACTTTCCCATGCTCTGTCCTTTGTTTACTGCCTTCTCCACCTAAGAGAGAAAATGCACTCATCTGATGAGCATTCTAGTCTGCCACATGATTGTAATTAATTCTCATTATGAAGAAATAAATTGTCAAAATAGTAACCAAATTGAAAAAAATAAAACTGTATGCATACATGTATATATTTGTATTTCTACGAATTTGGTAAAAGATAATTGGTCCTGTGGGAAAGATGCTTACAGTTTGTTGTATCTGATCACGTTTGCTTGCAACTAGTCTCCTTAGCTTGCTATTCTTTTGTATTGCTCTGAGCCTGGACTTTTGAAAACTGCAACAACTTAGGGCATTTAAGGGCATTGTGTGGTCTCATCTTTAAAACGAGAATGTTGACCTAATGCTTTTCAGAATTCCTCTTAGTTCTGATTCTTCATGATTAACTTGTGAGCTCAGTTGTATCACTGCAGACTTAACAGGTAAGAGAAGGGATTTGAGAGAACTGAAAAATCATTGATGTTTATGTTGATAGTACCAATATTACTCAGAGTTGCACATTTCAATCAGCCTTGTTTTTTTGGTTCCAAAGTATAGAGTACAACATTTTACGTGTTGCTGCTACATTTTGTAAACTTCTTAAGGGCGGAGTGAGTACAGGACAGTGTATATCACAAAGAAAAGATAGCCAGTGCTTATTGAATAAATATATAGGACATAGCTAAACATGGTTTGGTTATTTGTGACTTTAAAAGTATTCTTTATTATGGCAAATTTTAAACATATGTATGAGTAGACAGAGTAAGATTATCTTAGTTCATCTGAGGTGCTGTAACAGGATACCATAGACTCCGTGATCTATATATAGAAGAAATTTAGTGCTCACAATTCTAGATGCTGGGAGTCAGAGATAAGGGTGCTAGCATGGTTAGGTTCTGTGACAGCCCTCTTCCTAGTTGCAGACTGCTGAGTCATGTTGTATTCTCCTAAGAGAGAGGGCTAAGCTAACTTTCTGGGATCTCTTTTACTTTTTAATCATTATTATTATTTTTTAATTTAATTTTTAGCTTTATTTGGCCATGCCAAGAGGCATGCAGGATTTTAGTTCCCCAACTGAACTACTGGTTGCCCCTTGCGGTAGGAGCGTGGAGTCTTAACCACTGGACCACCAGGAAACTGGGGTGTGTTTTACGAGGGCACTAATCCTAATCATGAGCGCTTTGTCCTCATTACCTAATCACCTCCCAAAGGTCTTTCCTCCTAATACCATCACTTAACATATGAATTTTGGGAAGACAGTAATGTTTAGACCATAGCAAATATTACGAACCTCCATTTACCTATTATCCTACTTTAATAGTCATGATTATTATTTTTTCTTTACTTCCTGCCGTGTGCCTTTTGTATTATTTTGAAGCAAATCTCAGACTTCATAACAATCTGTAATTCCAATGTATATCTCTCAAAGATAAACACTTAAAAAAAAATCATAGCTATACCTATATCATACTTCAAAGAATGACTTGGTTTTGACAAATATTACATTAATTTCACTTTGAATACCTGTACTAATTATTTCCAAGAAACTTGTTATGTGTAGTTTCCGTGTAGTTAATAATGCTTAGAAATAAAACAGTAGAACTAATTTTTGTTTTTATTTTGTTTAATATTTAGGCTATCGACATGACGGCTGAAGAAACAGTGAATGTAAAAGAGGTTGAAATCATTAAGCTAATCTTAGATTTCTTGAATTCAAAGAAGCTTCACATTAGTATGTTGGCCCTTGAGAAGGAAAGTGGAGTCATAAATGGCCTATTTTCTGATGATATGCTTTTCCTGAGGTATGATTTCATTATTACTGTAAGGTTTGTAGCTCATTCCAAGAAATGTTAAGTATTAATAAGATAATAGGTACAATACAGGTAGGTCTTTATAATCATGAAAAGTAAGTATAATTTTTTAATGTTTATTTTTATAATGAGCATTTACAAAATAAAAGTTTTCTGTAGAATATTTTCAGGAGTAAGATCCAAGGATTCATTAAAAAGAATCACAACTCTATTATGGTTGTGGCATCATGTAAAAGATACTTGATTAACAAATCAGAGACTGTAAACTTAAAATATTTCTGAAATATCTTTTGTAGCTGTAGAAATAAAACATACTCATATAAATATATTCTTTGTAGAAAATATAGAAAAATAAGAAAAATCACCTTACCATCCACACATAGTTTTTGATGCATATTTAAAAAACCCCAGCAATTCTGTTTGCATTTATAACTTGTATCCTGCTTTATCCATTAACATTATAAGAATTCTGTGTGTGATTATAAATTTTTTCTTTTAAAGTTTTCGGTTTACTTAATTTCCTAATAATTTCCCTATTTTTAGACAATTAAATTGTTTCCAGGCTTTCTTAAATGCTCTACTGAACATCTTTCATACATATGACTTTTTCTGTGTCTTGGATTATTTCCTTAGAACAAGTTTCTTGGAGATGGAATTGTAGAGCAAAAGGGAGTTAACATGTTTGCCAAAATGGAAAGCTAAATATATCCTTCCTTGAATTGGATGGAAAAAGAAAAACCCAAAATTCCAGACAGAAATGTATTCTGTGCTTATGTGCTACCAAATGTCCTTGACAGGGAGTACAGATTCTTGGATATGTAGCATTTTGTGAAATGAAAATGAAGTGTTTCTAACTCATGAAGAAGGAACTTTTTAAAAAGCTTTATTATATCAGGAAAGTTTATTTAAATTCATTGCACTTCCCTGTATTTGATATATGAATGTCACTGAGCCCTCGGGAGCTTAGTCAATCGTATGTGTAGCAGGAACCAGTACTAAGGCAGTATTCTTTGGGCTTTGTCTTTCAAGCATTGCTGTTCCTGGAATTTAGTAGTGGCTCTCTGATATCCCTCTGCAGAAATCCATTGGTTTGTAGTGCAGTTTTACTGGTCTAAGGTGAAATGCAAAGAATTGAAGAATAGTAAAGTTTTCATTAAAACTAAATGTATTCTCCTAATGTATTGATCTTAAAGGGCTCACCTTTGAAATTATATCCTTCCTACTTTTTAAATGTTAAAATGTTCCTTTATAAAATGATTATGTTATATATTGTGATTGCTTTTTATTACTATTCATTCTTTGTAGAATTTTTAAAGTTGGTAATCTTATGTAGATCTTCTTGTTTCTTCCTTTTAAAATTTTCTGTTCTAAAAATGCCGAAGTAGGGAAATAACTTTTAAGAAAGAACAGTAATCTAAAAGCCTTATAACTTTTGGAAGTTCCCATAGACCACTTAAGTCAGAGAAACCTGATATTATTCATTACTGTTTTCATTCTCAGAATATAAACTTTAGTATATACTAACTTTAGTTGAATGCCTCCAAGATGTTGAAGTCACATTTAGAGCAGTTTTTCAGCCTTAGTACTGTTAACATCTTGTGTGAGTGTGGGAGTTGTCCTGTGCATCGTAGGATGTAGGATATTTAGCAGTTTCCTCTGACCCATACCCTGTAAATGCTGGTCACACCCCAGTTGTGACAACCCAAAATGTCCCCACACAATGCCAGATGTCTCGAGGGGGCAGAGCTGCCCCAAGTTGAGACCCACTGACTTAGGGAGACTGGGACATACCTACACAGTGGCCCCTAAATAATACAGAATAACTTTAAACTGTAAGATTAGTGGGGAAATAAATAAACTTTTAGATTTAGTTTGATGTTTTTACATAGATGAAAAAAAAACACATTTTAGAATGAGGAGTGGGTGTAGGTTCACAGATTCTTCTCAAATAGCATATGTTGTTACAAATAATTTGTGGGAAAAGTTAATTTTATTATAGTGGTTGAGGAATCAAGTAAAATGTTAATCTTATTACCTGCTTTGTGATGTTCTAATGCTGTCTTGTCATCTATTCTGCTTTTAATTAGTGTAACACAGGTTTGATAGCATACATGGATTTTTCTTTATATAGGCAACTAATCCTTGATGGTCAATGGGATGAAGTTCTTCAGTTCATTCAGCCTCTAGAATGTATGGAAAAATTTGACAAAAAAAGGTAAGATTTCATTTGAAACTTTTTAGTATCTTATCGTTGATAGAAGTTTAGCAAGACAAAACGATAAACAAAAATTTAAAAACAAGGCTGTTGGCTTTCCTAGCACATGGTACCCTCAGTCCCATTGGGTTGGAGCACTTCCGAGGACAGCTTGCATGCACTTCAATTAGTTGACTATCTGATACATAAAATTAGTCAACAGTGCCTATATATAAAACATCACAAGGACCTATCTGAAGCAGTTGTTTCTTCATAATACTACAAAGATTTTAGAAAGGTCATCCCATTGTTTCCTGACCTCCATTATTTCTGACAAAGAGTTATTTTTGATTTTCTTGTATATAATGTTTCTTTTTTTCTTCTTCTACTAGCTGCCTTCAAGATTTTCTCCTTGAAAAAAAACCAAATCTCATTGGTTTTCAGCACTTTGATTTGGATGTGCCTAAGTGTCTTGGGGTCGCAAAGAGTCGGACACGACTGAGCAACTGAACTGAACTGAACTGAAGTGTGATTTACTTGTATTTTTCCTGCATGGGGTTTACTGAGGTTTTTGGATCTATAAGTTTATGTCTTTCATCAAATTTGAGAAGTTTTTGGCAGTTATTTCTTCAAAAATATTTTCTGCTCTTTTCTCCTTTTATTTATATAGTATTAGATTGATACTGTTCCACAGTTTTGAAGCTTTGTTCCTTTTTTAAAAACATTTTTTCTGTGTATTCTTCAGTCTTGATTTACCCTCAACATTTATTGACACTTTCTTCAGTTAGTAACCTGCTCATAAACAATGAATTTTTCATTTCAAATATTGTACTTTTTGGTTGCAGAATTTACTTTTATTTATAATTTTTCTGCTGAGATATTCCTATCTGTTCATTGTGACTATATTTCCCAGTAAAGTCCTTGAACTTATTTTTAGTAACTGCCTGTTCACTAATAGTTCTTATTTGCTAATTCCAACTTCTGGGTTATGTCAGGCTCAGTTTCTGTTGATTGCCTTTTCTTTTAACTGTAAGTCACTCTTTTTTTTCACGTCTTATCATTTTTTAAAACAACATTCTGCACATTGTGGATTCATTGTTGAAACTCTGAATTTCCGTTACCTTCTTTTGAAAATTATTGATTTTTGTTCATACAGGGAGTATACCTTGTTATACTCAGAATGCAAAGTCTGTCCCTCACCTAACAGACATCAGTTGAAATCTCTGCTCAGTTATTTAACCTTCAGTCTGTTGCTTTTGCTGGGCTCTTTGGAGTCTCCCTTGCATCTTCAGTTTTAGGGATGGCCAAGGTTTTAGGCACAGTTTATACAGTAGATTTTGATATATTTTTCATTGTGGTTTCCTCTTGTTTTGTATCCTCCTACCCTCTCTGCCACTTTTCCACTGTTCTGGCATACCGGACCTTTTTCTGACTTCTCAAAAATCTGTAAAACTGCAGCTTTCTGCTTGAGTTTTAGCTCATGCTGTGTGGATTGAGGAGTATCTCAACTGGAAGGCCCTATGTCCTTGAATCTCACTGCCTAAAATTCCCTTTTTTCATGTATTGACTTCCCTCTACTTGTGCTAGCCTTTTTTTTCCCTTTTTTTTTTTTTTGGTGCTTTCAAATAATTTTGGGGTTTTATCTAGGGTTTAATTGTTATTTGCAGAAAAGTTAGCCCGATACAAATTACTCCACCATTATTAGAAGTGAAACTTCGTGTTAGTTTCTGATTCTCCATAATTCATGCTGTTTCAGACTTTATTTTTGTACATTGTTTATTTACCTGGAATACTATTTCTTACATCATCTTCTGCCTTTACATAGCACATGCTTGATCATCTTCCAAGAGTCAGTTCTTGTAAGACCCACACCATTTCTTGTAGACTTGGTTTCACACTCCTTCTAAATCTTTCTCTGTGTTAGTTACTCAGTTGTGTCCTACTCTTTGAGACCCCATGGACTGTAGCACTCCAGGCTCCTTTGTCTGTGGAATTCACCAGGCAAATACTGCAGTGGGTTGCCATTCCTTTCTCCAGGGGATCTTCCCGACCTAGGGATTGAACCCAGGTCTCATATCACAGGCAGATTCTTTACTGCTGAGCTACCCAGGAAACCCAAAACCTTGCTGAATCCTATACATATTCCATGGAATTTATTAGATGATCCTCTTCTTTTTGTTTTTTAAATTGAAGTATAGTTGATTTATAATACTGTGTTAGTTTCAGGTATATGGCATAATAATTCAGTATTTTTGCAGACTATATTCCATTATAGCTTATTACAAATTCTCTGTGCTATACAGTTAATCTTTGTTGCTTATCTGTTTTATGTATAGTAGTTTGCATTTGTTAACCTCATACCCCTAACTTTTCCCCTGCCGCCAGCTTTAGTAACCACAGGTTTGTTTCTATGACTGTGAGTCTGTTTTGTGTATATATGTATATTCATTTATGTTATTTTTTAGATTCCACATATAAATGTTATCATATAGTATTTGTCTTTCTTTGACTTATTTCAGTAAGCACAATATTCTCTAGGTTCATCCATGTTTTTGCAGATGGCAATATTTTTTTTTCCGCTTCCTTATACGACTTCTTTTTTTGGAATTTTTATTGGAGTATAGTTGGTTTACGATGTTGTGTTAGTTTCAGGTACACAGCAGAGTGATTCAGTCACACATATACATATATCCACTCTTTTTTAGATTCTTGTCCTGTGTGAGTCATCACAGAATATTGAGTAGAGTTCCTGTGCTAAACATAGGTCCTTATTAGTTATCGGTTCTCTATGTAGTAGTGTGTGTATGTCAGTCCCAACCTCCCACTTCATCCCTCTTCCCCTTTCCCCACTGTTAATCATAAGATTGTTTTCTACATCTCTAACTCTGTTTCTGTTTTGTTAAATAAGTTCATTTGTACCATTCTTTATAAGATTTCACTTATAAGTGATACCATGTGATACTTGGCCTTCTCTGACTTAATTCACTCAGTGACACTCTCTCGGTCCCTCCGTGTTGCTGCAAATGGCATTATTTCATTCTTTTTTATGACTGAGTAATAGTTCATTGCATGTGTGTATACATACACACCACAACTTCTTAATCCAGTTATCTGTTAATGCGCATTAGATGAATTGCTTTCATTAGATGCCCTTCTTAAAGGCGGGGATTTTGTTTTATTGGCACATATTTGCTGTTACAACAATGGTTGGAAGAATGACTGTGAAGGTTCATTATTATTTTCTTTCAGTCCTTAGAAATCCTTTTCTTTAAAGTGCTTAAGGCAGTCAACATTTTTTGATTCATAGACGAGTCAAGTAGACTCTCCCTTCCCCCTCTCTGAAAAGTACCTTTTATTTTTTTTTTTCCATTTATTTTTATTAGTTGGAGGCTAATTACTTTACATCATTGCAGTGGTTTTTGTCATACATTGAAATGAATTAGCCATGGATTTACATGTATTCCCCATCCCGGTCCCCCCTCCCACCTCCCTCTCCACCCAATCCCTCTGGGTCTTCCCAGTGCACCAGGCCCGAGCACTTGTCTCATGCACCCAACCTGGGCTGGTGATCTGTTTCACCCTAGATAATATACGTGTTTCGATGCTGTTCTCTTGAAACATCCCACCCTCGCCTCTCCCAGAGTCCACAAGTCTGTTCTATACATCTGAGTCTCTTTTTCTGTTTTGCATATAGGGTTATCGTTACCATCTTTCTAAATTCCATATATATGTGTTAGTATACTGTAATGGTCTTTATCTTTCTGGCTTACTTCACTCTGTATAATGGGCTCCAGTTTCATCCATCTCATTAGAACTGATTCAAATGAATTCTTTTTAATGGCTGAGTAATATTCCATGGTGTATATGTACCACAGCTTCCTCATCCATTCGTCTGCTGATGGGCATCTAGGTTGCTTCCATGTCCTGGCTATTATAAACAGTGCTGCGATGAACATTGGGGTGCACGTGTCTCTTTCAGATCTGGTTTCCTCGGTGTGTATGCCCAGAAGTGGGATTGCTGGGTCATATGGCAGTTCTATTTCCAGCTTGAAAAGTACCTTTTAAAAAGTTCTAAGTCTACAGTTATTTTATGGCTTTTTAGCAGTGTTATTCATTTCATTCTACCCTTTCAGCTCTATTTTTATAAGACTTTTCTCATGTTTGAAAAGACTTATTTTGGGAAATAAAATATTTGGAATATAAAATATTTTGATTTCATGTTAGATGACTTTTGACATCTTCCATAAAAACTTGATTGTTTGCTTACATGTAAATCCATGGCTAATTCATTTCAATGTATGACAAAACCACTGCAATGTTGTAAAGTAATTAGCCTCCATCTAATAAAAATAAATGGAAAAATAAATGAATAAATAAATAAAGTCATTTTAATTAAAAAAAAAAAAAGAATGGCTTATGAGTGATCGAACACACACACACACGGCTTCAATGTGATTAGCCTTATGAGATATTTTAAGAATTTCCTGAAAGCAAAGGTACTTCCAGTAACTAGTAAGTACATTTGATTTATGAGACATTGGGAAATTAATTTTTTAAAGTCTTTTTTAAAAGGAATAATTGATCCTATAATAAAAACTTGGCCTGTTTTGCTTTAGGAGCTTGAGTTTCATTTCTGGTCATTGACATTGCTATAGTGAACGGCAGTGAAAGTGTTAGTCATTTAGTCATGTCCGACTCTGTGACCCCATGGACTGTAGCCTGTGCTATAATTCAGCTTTTAATCATTTTAATGTTTCATATTTTATTTTTCACAGGTTTCGTTATATTATCCTGAAGCAGAAGTTTTTAGAAGCTTTATGTGTTAACAATGCAATGTCAGCAGAAGATGAGCCCCAGCATGTAAGATTTTTATTCCTGAAGGTTTGCGCCACAGTCTTGTTTCAGTCATAAGTATTCTATTCACTAAAACAAAGGATTAGAATTTATGAGTGGTGGTGGGGCAAGATCTGTTGTTTTACAGGTGTAGTACTTTCAATCTGTAGTGCTTCTGAATTTGTTCTGTGATTTAGGCAAAGATGATACACATCAATGGCTGTTTGGTTGGAGAATGTGCACCCCTCTTGTTTAAGGTGATTGAGATAGCCAAAGATGTTTGACTTGATGACTATATCATTGCTTCTTTTCTTATCCCAGAAGTGAATTATGTTTACCTCTTCTTTCTGTCTTTTCAGTATTTTCTTTGATCCAGAGGTTTTTTTCTTTTTTTTAAAAAAAAACCCTTTATTTTTTGGCTGTGCAGTACAACTTGTAGGATCTTAGTTCCCCAACTAGGGGGTTGAACCCAGGCCCTTGACAGTGAAAATGCAGAGCCCTAACCACTGATAGCCAGGGAATTCCCCAGAGGTGTTTCTTAATAGAATGTTTATTTTTTAATGACAATTGAGATTTAATGATATTGAATTCTTTTTGGTTAGAGAGTTACTTTTAAATTTTTAATATTAGTATTGTTACATCCAAAACCAAAGAAACTTATTAAGTGCTAGTAAGTAATCATTGAAATAGAGAAATGCTTGCCAGGTAATGATGTTTAAAGGTGGAAAGAGGTACTTCCCTGGTAGTCTAATAGTTAAGACTCAGCACTTCCACTGCAGAGGACTTGGGTTTGACCCCTGGTTAGGGAACTAAGTGTCCACATGCCAAATGGAATGACCAAAAAAAAAAGTGGAAAGAACACTGGAATATGAATAAGTCAATAAGAATTTTCATTTTGTCTTTGTCACTAATCAACTGAATTATTTAAGTTAAATCTGCACCCTACCTTTTCCTTCAGGTAAAATATAGAAGCTGTGCTATGCAATTTCTGAAGTTCCTTACGTCACTGAAAGCTTATGATCCTAAGATAATATTCACTGTACAAATTACTTTGTCTTTTAGCTAAGCTTCCTTTTGTTCTATCTGCACCATTTCTGTAAAAGTGAACTGTAGATGTTGCCTTTCTTGATTTGCTTTCTTTCTTTCTCCACACACATTTGTCCTAAGGCAAGTTTGAGAATGGCTCTTTTGCTTTTTGGGTAAGCTGGAGTGATGGCAGGCTGTAGTAAACAGTTAAATATTGGCATGCTTCAGTTTCATTGCTAGAAAACTTAATTATCCTTACTCTTAAAACTTATGCTTTGAAAATGATAGTATTAAGTTTGAGTTATGATACTTTTTTCTAGGTAAAAGTTTAATATGCTAATAACCAAATTTTAAAATCTTTATTTTAGTAGTAGAAAATATTTTGATTCTTCACTTGAAAGTTGTTATATAGCCCACCATTATATGAGTATTCTTTAACACTAGTTTATCCCTTTGCAATTGAACAGTTTGTGAAAGTTTATAAAGTATTTTGAGTAAAATACTTTCATTGTTTTCATATCTCATAGGATCTCTCTTTATAGCACTTGTTTTTTTTACAGCTGGAATTTACCATGCAAGAAGCCGTGCAATGTTTACATGCCCTGGAGGAGTACTGTCCTTCTAAAGATGACTACAGCAAGCTCTGTTTGCTTTTGACTTTGCCTCGTTTGACCAATCATGCTGAATTTAAGGACTGGAATCCCAGTACTGCACGAGTTCACTGCTTTGAAGAGGCTTGTATCATGGTTGCAGAATTCATCCCTGCTGATAGGAAGCTAAGTGAGGCTGGTTTTAAAGCAAGTAACAATCGTTTATTTCAGCTTGTAATGAAGGGCCTACTTTATGAATGCTGTGTAGAATTTTGTCAAAGTAAAGCAACAGGAGAAGAAATTACAGAAAGTGAAGTACTACTTGGAATTGACCTCTTATGTGGTAATGGGTGTGATGATTTGGATCTGAGTTTATTGTCATGGCTCCAGAATCTCCCATCTTCAGTCTTCTCTTGTGCTTTTGAACAGAAAATGCTTAATATTCATGTTGACAAACTTCTAAAACCCACAAAAGCTGCATATGCTGATCTTTTGACACCTCTGATCAGCAAACTTTCTCCCTATCCATCATCTCCAATGAGAAGGCCTCAATCAGCTGATGCCTATATGACCCGCTCTCTGAATCCTGCTTTAGATGGCCTCACTTGTGGACTGACCAGTCATGATAAGAGAATCTCAGACCTTGGGAACAAAACTTCTCCAATGTCACACTCCTTTGCTAACTTCCATTATCCAGGAGTACAAAACCTCAGCAGAAGTCTCATGCTTGAGAATACGGAATGTCACAGTATTTATGAAGAATCCCCCGAACGGTAAGTATTTGCTTATAAAAACTGGCAGATCTCTGTAAGTGTGAGATGATCTAATTGGGGTGTGTGTGTGTGTTTTCTAAATGTTCAAGTCTCTTTAGTTGAACGTTAGTCTCTAAAACTTTATTTGTAAGGAGTTTTAAAAATTTTGATAATTAATATTATCCAGGAAAATCTTTATTTTTATGTCCTGTATTATCATTTTGCTGGTAATAAAGGCAGTGCATACATATTAAGAAATTTTGGAAATATGGAAGATTATCAGTAAGAGAATTAAAATCCCACACAATCTCACACTTAGATGACCGATGTTTTTCCTATGAATACATTTTTAAAAATTGGGAAGGTGCTATATATATTTCATATAGTTTGCTTTTTTTCGTTTGATAGGTCATGAATTGTTCCCATATTCTTAAACATTTATTGAGGTCAGTAATTAAGGGTATGTGCATTATTCCTTTGTATGACTGTATCATAGTTTTACCTAATTTCTTATTGTAGGAGAGTAGATAGTTTCCTGTAAATACTACTGTATTGAACATGTGTATATATATATATATATATATATATATATATATATATATAAAAATCTCTGGTTATTTCCAGTTATCTTTAGTAATTCTCCATATATATACATATATATATATATATACACACACACACATAAGGAATTTAAGTGTTAAAACCACCACTCAGTTTTTCTTTCAAATTTGGCATGAAATAATAATTTCCTGATTAGCAGTTCTTTATATCAAGGCTTAAAAAACTTCCTGTCTCAGTTTTCCAGGAATCCCATTGGGACACATGGCTGGTTTCCTATTCTCAGAGTTGATACTATGAATCATTACTATTGACTGCAATAAATTTATTAAAAGCATAAAAATGAAAGCTTTTACTATTCACATAGGATAGTTGACAGCATTCTGTATTGAGGAAGAAATACTGGACTCGGAATTTCTGTTTCTAATTAAAACGAGGAGATATTTAGTTAAGGCATAAGAATTACAGGATAAATATTTATGGAAGCATTTTCTGTTAAGTTGCTGTGAGATTGTTGGGGGTGGTGGGTGTGATTTTCTTTAATGTTCTTTAAAGAAAGGAGAGGATTCTAGGATCAGGTAAGTGAGGGGGACTTCCTAAAGCCTAGGGTGACTTCCTAAGGCATCTTACTGCGATGTATTTTATGTTTGAAAGGTAAAGATGATATCTAGTGATGAAAACGAATGAGTATAATTTAATATAGTGTATCCTATTATTTAAATCCTGAAGGAATAGAGAATCTTGAGTATTGGTAGAGACTATCTTAAACTTTTCTTTGACTTTTCAATCCCTTTTAGAGAAAACTTTTGCTGTCTGGGATGCTAAGCTTCTGGGGGAACTAGTGACATTTTTCTGAGTATATGAGATGATAGGAGCTTCTTGGTCAATATAATGAATAGCATGTTTGGAATTGTGCACCAGTGGGATTGTCTTCATAAAGGAAAAAAAAAAAACACAAAAAGCTAGCCAAATTTGGCTCTACACGTGCTGTTCCCTATGTAAAGAAAGTACTAGTAATTGAGAATTGACTGAATAAAGATGGAAAGAAGTGAAATTATTAGACCATTATAGAGGGGTAAAAGGTAACTTGTCAGAAGGTAAGTAATACATGTGTTTTCAGCTGAGCACTAGTAATCACCAAGAAAACATCTGTCACGTCTCTGAAATTGGAAAACTTATGAGGCAAAGCAGTGTAGAATAGTGAGTAGAACATGGTCTTTGGAGTCAGACTACGGTTTGAATAGTAGCCTTGCCATTTTCTAGCTGCATGATCTTGGAATGGTTTCTTAATCTCTCTGAGCCTCAGTGGCCTCCTCTATAGAATAGAGTGCTGACTTGCAGAGTGAGAGAAAGCTCCTAGCAGAGTGGTAAGCATGTGCTTGGTGCTTAATAAATACAGATTTCCCTCCTGCAGGGTTCATACCCTTGGAAAGGACAGTGTGTCTAAAGGGCTACTAATAACATGTTATAGAAGAGCCATTTGGCTGTTGATAAAGTATACAGATTTATTTTGGAGAAAGTTTACCTGGTTTTGAAAAATGTTTTAGGCATAATTAGAAAATATGGGAAGCTCAGATCAATTATGTTAAAATGCCACATAAAGAGACTTTTGCTTGTGGTAATATATGTTTGAATTCAGTATTTATTTAAAAATATTTGATTGTCTACTCTGTGCTAGCACCATGCTGCATCCCCAGGATATAATGATTGAGTTACTATGGTGAAGAAGATAAAACACACAAGAGAAGTTTATAAAAGAGTGTGTAGTGTTTTGAAAGATATCTTTTCACTTGAACAGAAAGCAACTCTAAAAAAGGAAGAAAAACCAGTTGAAATATGCAGGCCGTGACTATGCAATATAATGGTCTCAAAATTAAATGGTAGGAAAAAAAGTCTATTCCCAGACTTGGGCCAACATTGGATTTGGAGTCCGAAGACCTGGATTCAAGTCCTAACTTTATTTACTAACTATGCAGTTTTGGGAACATGCCTTTTTTGAGTCTGTTTACTCATCTGTGAAATGGGAGTTTTAATCTATTTTACAGGTCACTGTGCAGATTAAATGAGATAATGTATATGGAAGTGCTGTATAAATTGCAAAATTAAATCTTACTTTATAAAATCATTTTATTCTATCTATACAGTTAATAATTCTTACAAATTGTACTTTTGGATTAAAATGGATCTTCCTTTGGTCATTAGCAGCTTACAGCATTGTCCTGTAACCAAAAACTATTCCCAGATCTTTCTACTTCCTCCTCAGGGTGCATATGTGTGTATATATGTCTAGATATTTATGACTGCTAGGCTCCTAACTAATGGTACTTTTGTGAAGATGACTATCTAGCTCTGCTTTCCTAAACCCTAGACCTCTATTTTAATATGTCTTACATACTTATGCCTAGAGAGGCCATTATGAAGTCATCTCATAATCAAATTAATTGAAGACAAAATTCACTTTACTTTTGTACTTGTTCCCATGGTATCTGTTACTGATAGGTAATCTTCGTGAATGTGGTATTTGTCATCTTTGGATAATGTTAGTTATTAAAATTTTTAAACAGCATAACTATGAAAGTAGAAATTTCCAGTGTCTAGAAGAGTTGACTCATTGGAAAAGACCCTGGTGCTGGGAGGGATTGGGAGCAGGAGGAGAAGGGGACAACAGAGAATGAGATGGCTGGATGGCATCACCAACTCGATGGACATGAGTTTGAGTAAACTCCGGGAGTTGGTGATGGACAGGGAGGCTTGGTGTGCTGCGATTCACGGGGTCGCAAAGAGTCAGACACGACTGAGCAACTGAACGGAACAGAACTGAACTGACGAAGACTACAGGGAACAACCTGACATAAGACATCAGACTTACTAATTAGTATACATTAAAAATATTTGAAAGATGTTTCACTTTTATGTTAAGTGCAAATAAATCAAAGAAAGCCTTTTAGTAAAATCTCAAGTATTCTTAACTTTTTATTGAAATATATTGGAGGAAAGAAAATGGAGGTTTGGATAACAGAGTAACAGTTCTTTAAAAGAATTTAGGCTTTAAGTCATTTGACCTATTAATTTGTAGATGAAGCTGAGCCACAGAGAATGTAAGTGATTTCCCAAGGCAACACATACTATTTTATTTTATTTTATTTTTTCACACATACTATTTTAGATGGGAGTCCCTTCCGTCCTTGCTTAATAATCCAGTGCTCTTTCATTGTTAGCACATTCTGTTTTTCAAAATCCCTTACATATAGTACTTAAGAGAAAAAAGTAAAGTTTAAAATCTGTTTTTGTGCATTTAATATATACTTAAGCTAAATATGCCTCTTTTAAATTAAAATATCTCTAACTACATTACATTTTTCTTTACCCCTACTTCTTCCTTTTCATTTGTTACCCCAAAGTGATACACCTGTTGAGGCACAGAGACCTATCAGCAGTGAAATCCTGGGCCAGAGTTCAGTTTCAGAAAAGGAGCCTGCAAATGGAGCACAGAATCCAGGACCAGCTAAGCAAGAAAAAAATGAGGTAATGTTTACTACATCTCAGGTCTTTCAGAGTTATCCATTTTGTAAGAAGTTAATACTATTTGCTTGGATAGAATTTAAAAAAGAATTTTCTGTTATTTCAGAGGAGGAGAGAGAATACCTAGATTTTCTTATTAGATCATTTCTCCCCTCTTCTTTAATAATTTATAGGGTTTTTTTTCATTTGTTTGTTTAGTTATTATGTATTTTAGAACATTTTTAGTGTATGATTTATTAACAATTAAAATATCACAGTTGAGATTGCTTCTGCATGTTTGAACATTCATGTAATTGAATTCGTATTAAAAGCAGACAACTTATGTTTTAAGATATGTGCTCTATATTTTACTAAGTAGATTTAATGAGCAAGAAATTATGACATTTATAATGTAGAATGATACCTTATCTCTGCTTCCCTGCTGGCTCATCAGTAAAAGAATCTGCTTGCAATGCAGTAGATGTGAGTTTGATCCCTGGGTCGGGAAGACCCCCTGGAGAAGGAAATGGCAACCCACTCGACTATTCTTTTTTATTTTTTTAAAATAAAAGTATTTATTATTAGGCTGTGCTGGTCTTCATTGCTGCGCGGGCTTTTCTCTCATTGTAGTGAGTGGGGGCTGTTCTCTGGCTACTGTGCACAGGCTTCTCATTGCAATGGCTTTTCTTATTGTGTAGCATGGACTCTCTAGGGTGCGTGGGCGTCAGTAGTTGTGGCTCTTGGGCTTCCAGCGCACAGCCTCAGTAGCTGTGGCACATGGGCTCAGTTGCTTCTCAGCATGGGGGATCTTCTCAGATGAGGGGATTGAACCCGTGTCTCCTGCATTGACAGGTGGATTCTTTACCACTGAGCCACTAGGGAAGCCCCCACTCTGGTACTCTTACCCGGGAACACCATAAACAGAGGAGCCTAGCAGGCTACAGTCCATGAGGTCACAAGAGGTGGCCGTGACTTAGCAACTCAACCATCACCACCACCACACCTTATCTAAGCCTTTAGAGTTCTAGTTTATTTTCCTGTGGTGCTTTGAAAAGGAAATTGTATTGTGAAATAAGGTGCAAATTTTATCATGTATATAATATCTCACTTATAAGGGGTGAGTAGGTTTAATAAGTTGAATAAGTTTTTGTGTGTGTTTGACTAAATATTAAGAATGAGGTTGAAAAATTACCCTTAAAAGTACATATGGATATGTACCAAACAACAGTATCCCGAAATATATGAAGCAAACATTGGCAAAGCTGAAGGGAGAAATAGACTGTTCTGCAATAATAGTTGGAGATTTCAATATCATACCTGCAGTAATGGATAGACTATCTAAACAGAAGATCGGTAAGGATATGGAGGACTTGAACAATGCTGTAAACCAATTAGCGCTAACAGACATCTGTAGAATACTCAGTATGGAGTACACATTCTTCTCCAGTGCACATGCAGCTTCTTCAGGATAGACCATATCTTAGGACTCAATACATTTTAAAAGATTTAAAATCATGTAAAGTATCTTCTCTGATCACAGAGGAATGAAGCTAGAAATGAATAACAAGGAAAATTTTTAAATTAAAAATTTGAAAAAATGAATCAACACATTCTTAAACAACCACTGGGTCAAAGAAGAAATCACAAAGGGAAATTAGGAAACACTTAGAGACTAATGAATAGTACAACATAACAAATATACAACAAGCTAATGGAATGCAGGAAAAGCAGTGCTCAGGGATAAATTTGTAGCTGCAAATGCTTACATTAAAAAAAGAAGAAAGATCCCAAATTAATGACTTGACTTTATGCCTTGAAGAGCCAGAAAAAGGAAGAGCATGCTATATCCAAAGATTACAGAAGGAAGGAAATAATAAAGATTAGAGGAGAGAGAAATAAAAGAGAAAAGGGAAACAACAGGGAGAATCAACAAAATCAAAAGTTGGTTCTTTGAAAAGATCAACAAAATTGATAAGCCCTTAGCTAGACTGACAAAGAAAAAAAAATAACTACATAAAACTATCGTACAGGGCTTCCCTCACAGGTGGCATTAGTGGTAAAGAACCCACCTGCCAGTGCAGGAGATACAAGAGATGTGGATTTGATCCCTGTGTCGGGAAGATCCCATGGAGGAGGAAATGGTAACCCACTCCAGTATTCTTGCCTGGAAAATTCCATGGGCAGAGGAACCTGGTGGGCTACAGCCCATAGGGTCACAGAGTCGGACACGACTGAAGCGACTTAGCATATCTACCTTAAAGCAATAAAAAGGACTGTAAGAGAATACTGTGACCATTTGTAAACCAACATTTTAGATAACTTAGATGAAGTGAACAAATTCCTTAGAAGAAAATTACTAAACTCACTTGGAAAGAAATAGAAAATCTTAACAGATCTATATTGAGTAAAGAATTGAATCAGAAATCAAAAAGCTTTCCAACAAAGGAAAGACAAGGATCAGGTGACTTTACTGGTGAATTCTACAAACATTTAGGAAGAGTTAACAATAATCCTCAAAATTTTCCAAAAAATAAAAGAGGAGGGAACACTTCCTCACTCATTCTATGAGTTCAGCATTACCATCATAGCAAAGCCAAGTGAAAATACTAGGGACAAAAACTACAGACCAATGTGTATTATGAATATATAGGCAAAAATCAACAAAATACTAGCAAGCCAAAACCATTAGCATATTAAAAGGATTATGCATCTTGACCAAGTGGATTGATTGCAGGATGCAAGTGTGGTGGTTCAACATAGAAAACTCTCAGTTTAATAATCACATTAATAGAATGAAGGAAAAAAATAAAGTTTGTCTCAATTGATGCAGAAAAGACATTTGACAAAATCAAACACTCTTTGCTGTTAAAAACTCTCAGAGAACTAATAATAGAATGGAACTTCCTCAGCATGGTGAAGATTATTTATGGAAAACCCAAGCTAATATCATACTTGGGGAATGACTAAAAGCTTTCTCCCTACCATCAGGAACAAAGATAAGCATGCCTGCTTTCACAATTGTTACTTCAACATTTATTACAAGTTCTAGCCAGAGCAGTTAGACCAGAAAAATAAATAAATTGGGAAGGAAGAAGTAAAGCTGTCTCTATTCACAGATGACATGAATATTATATATCATCAGAAAGAATCCACATTTATTACAAGTTCTAGCCAGAGCAGTTAGACCAGAAAAATAAATAAATTGGGAAGGAAGAAGTAAAGCTGTCTCTATTCACAGATGACATGAATATTACATATCATCAGAAAGAATCCACATGACAGCAATTAAAGCTTATGATTAGGTTCAGCAAAGTTGCAGGCTACAAGATCAACAAATGAAAATTGTTTTGTGTTTCTATATACCAGCAGTGAACAATCAGAAGAGGAAATTAAGAAAGCAGTTTTGTTTACAGCAGCATATAAAAGGATAAAATACTTAGGAATAAATTAAGGAGGTGAAAAATTTGTATGCCAAAATCTAAAAAACATTACTGAAAGAAGCTAAAGAAGACCTAAATAAATGAACGGACCTTCGGTGTTCACGGATGGGAAGATTGAATACTGTTAAGATGTCAGCACTACCCAACATTATTTACAGATTTCATTTAATTCCTGTAAAAAATTCCACTGCCTATTTTGTAGTAATGGAAAAGCTAATACTCAAATACTTGGAATTGCAGCAGGCCTTGAATAGCCAAAACAATTTTGCAAAAAGAAATACAAAATTGTAGGACTCACACTTCATAATTTCAAAACTTACTATAAAGCTACAGTAATTAAAACTGTGTAGTTCTTGTATAAGGATAGGCTTATAGACCAGTGGAATAAATTGAGAGGCCAGAAGTAATTTCATATATCTGTGACCAGTTGATTTTTGGCATGGGTACCAAGTCTACTCAGTGGGGGATAAATAATCTTTTCAACAGATGATGCTATTAGATAACTGGATTTCCACATGCAAAAAAGGAAGTTGGACCTCTGTCTCAGCCATATATAAAAATTAACTAAAACTAGATCAACAACTTAAGTACAGGACCTGCAGAAGTATAAAACTCAGAAGAAAACATAGGGATTAATCTTTACAACCTTAGATTTTGTAATATGGTCTTAGATATAATACCAAAAGCTTAAGCAACAAATGCAAAAATTGAACTTCATCAAAATTAAAAACTTTTTTGCATCAAAGGACATTATCAATAAACTGAAAGGACAGCCTCCAGAATGGGAAAAATATTTGCAAATTATCTGGTGAGGTTTTAGTGTCTATAAAATATAAAGAACTGCTACAACTCAACAATTAAAAAATCCATTTTAAAAAAGGAGTTGAATAGACAGTTCTCCAAATTGGCCAGATGTCTATAAATGGCCAATAAGTACATGAGAAAAATGCCTAAAATCACTTGTCATTAGGAAAATGTACATCAAAACCACAATGAAGTATAACTTTGCAATTACTAGAATGGCTAAAAGGCTAAAATCAAAGCAGTAGAAAGTAATGTGTTGGTGAGAAAATAGAGAAATTTGAGGCCTCATACATTTCTGATTTGTATGTAAAATGGTATAGTCACTGTGGTTTCGTGGTACCTCAAAAATCTAAACAAGAATTACTGTATGACCCAGTCAATTTACTTTTAGGTATATAGCCAAAAGCTTTGAGAGCAAAGGCTCAAATAGATAACTCTACATCCATGTTCATAGCATCATTATTAACTGTGGCCAAAAGGTAGAAATAACTCAAGTACATCCGCAGGTTAATGGATAAACAAGTGATGTATCCATACAATGGAGTATTACTCAGCCATAAAGAGGAATGAAGTCTGACGTATGCTGCAATTTGGATGTACCTTGAAAACATTGTATTAAGTGAAATAATGCATACAAAAAAGGACAGATACTGGATAATTCCATTTACATTATATATCTAGGATAAATAAATTCACGAGACAGAAAATGGAATATAAGTTAGCAGACGTTAGAGGGAGAAGGAAATGGGAGTTATTGCTTAATGGTTATAGAGTTTCTGTTAGGGGTGATGAAAATTTTTGGAAATAGATAATGGTGGTTATGTAACACTATGACTCTAATGCCACTGAATTGCACAGTGAATGGTTAAAATTACAATTTTTATATTTATTTTACCACAGAAATTTTTTTTAAATACATAGAGATAATTTTGTTTCAGAGTTATTGCTGTAAGTTATTATGAAATAGAGGGGGACTGTTACTATTCTCTGGGAAAGGGAGACAGTTTTAACTTTAGTCAGTCAGTCATATCGGACTTGTGGTTAAACTTACTATCAATGTTGGCCAGTTTTAGAGATGATCCAGTTCATATGATCTCTGTAATTTGACCACACTCTAGCTTGGCAGGAGGGTCTTTCTTTGCCAATATTGGAATTCACTATAATATCTAAGTCCTTTAAGTTGAGTACTATGTAATTCTTTTAGAAGAATGAAGTAGAAATGTTGAGACTGCTGAGTTTAACATCTATTTATTCTATTTTCTTGTGAAGAGCCACTTGAATTAAAGTATTGTTTCTGAAGGAAATTTTATAAGCTTCCTTCCAGAGTAACCTATTAAGCCACAAGCCACTTACATGCTTAAATTGTGTTAGATAAGGTTAATATTGTATTTATTAAATATTAATGTAATCCCTCAGTATTTTTTCCTAGTAATATAGATATGTGCTAGTCTTTACATTTGTATTCTATATTCATGTCGTCCTTGTGATGACTGTAGTCTGTTTATTTGTGCTGGCAGGGATCCAGGATGATCATTTGTTTTCATCAGTCTTTTACTGTGGAATAGAGCAAATTAATTGATCTGATCTATTTGACTGTTAAGACTCATGTGTACTATGTTATTTTTCAAAGATCCAATATATTAAGTATTTTCTGATTGCCATCTATATGTTTTATGTAGCACTTATGGAAGTTACTGTTGAGTGATGACATATTCAATCATAGTCTGCTCAAACTTTGTGGGTTTTTTTTTTTTATATATTTTTAAGCTTCGAGATTCAACAGAACAGTTTCAAGAATATTACAGGCAAAGATTGCGCTATCAACAGCACTTAGAACAGAAGGAGCAACAGCGACAGATATACCAGCAGATGCTGCTTGAAGGAGGTGTGAATCAGGAAGACGGTCCTGATCAGCAGCAGAATCTTACCGAACAATTCCTTAATAGGTCGGTCTTTTAGTCACTTTTTAAAATATGAGGCATTCAGTTCAGTCGCTCAGTCATGTACGACTTTTTGTGACCCCATGAACTGTAGCATGCCAGGCCTCCCTGTCCATCACCAACTCCTGGAGTCCACCCAAACCCATGTTCATCGAGTTGGTGATGCCATCCAACCATCTTATCCTCTGTCATCCCCTTCTTCTCCTGCCCTCAATCTTTCCCAGCATCAGGGTCTTTTCCAGTGAGTCAGCTCTTTGCATCAGGTGGCCAAAGTGTTGGAGTTTCAGCTTCAATATCCGTCCCTCCAATGAACACCCAGGACTGATCTCCTTTAGGATGGACTGGTTGGACCTCTCTTCAGTTCAAGGGACTCTCAAGACTCTTCTCCAAGACCACAGTTCAAAAGCATCAATTCTTTGGCGCTCAGCCTTCTTTATAGTCCAACTCTCACATCCATTCATGACTACTGGAAAAACCATAGCCTTGACTAGACAGACCTTTGTTGGCAAAGTAATGTCTCTGCTTTTTAATATGCTGTCTAGGTTGGTCATAACTTTCCTTCCAAGGAGGAAACATCTTTTAATTTCATGGCTGCAATTACCATCTGCAGTGATTTTGGAGCCCAGAAAAATAAAGTCAGCCACTGTTTCCACTGTTTCCCCATCTATTTGCCATGAAATGATGGGAGCAGATGCCGTGATCTTAGTTTTCTGAATGTTTTTCACTCTCCTCTTTAACTTTCCTCAAGAGGCTCTTTAAATGAGGCATTATTTAAAAGCTATTAAGAGCATGCAGTAACTGCTATTTTCTGTGTGTAGTGTGAAATTTTAAGGCTTTTTAAGTGTTTCAAGTAGTGTGGAGTTACATAATCTCTTCAGTCACAGAAGTCTGAAGGCTCATCCAGTTTTGTCCTCCTTTTGATAAATGGTCTTTCACATCTGAGCAAAGGGAGCGGCGAGCATGGTGGTTTCAGCACACAGGCTGAAAGTGGACTGCTGCTGGGTCTGGCCATGTCCCAGGGTAGCTGAAGACCTGGGGGAAATTGCTGTCTTCCGTTTGCTTGCCTCCTCATGAGGTTGCCATGAAGATTAAACGAATTAACCTGTGTAAAGTACTTAGAACAGTACCTGCATAGAGTAAACACTATATTAAGTGGTAGCTGTTATTTTTAATGTTATCTTGAGAGCTTTAACTTTCAGATTTTATTGAATTAGAATATTAAAATGATTCTTTCTTACTAATTTCTTCCAAAATGTATGAACTTATTCTTTTTGATTATAGGAGGTAAATACATGGTAACATTTTTTTTTTTTTTTAGAAATCTGTAAACCAGAATATGTATACTTAATTGAGCTAGAGTTGTTGGAAGATTGAGTTAACATATATTAAAAAAATACTTAGAATAATTTCTAGCATATAGGAGGCATGCTATAAATGTTGGCTGTCATCATGATTTAGAGTGGGAAATGGCAACCCACTCCAGCATTCGTGCCTGGAGAATTCCGTGGACAGAGGAACCTGGTGGGCTGTTATAGTCCATGGGGTTGCAAAAGAGTCAGACAAGACTTGGCACACACACATGCATGTGTCGTCATGATTATAATTGGGCAGTGCAGTGGTGACTGTCCTTATTTGGTTCAGAAATATTGGAAGTAATCAGCCTGACATTCTGTGTGCTGTGCAAGTCAGTGAGCCTGAAACTGATCCTGTCTTCAGACCTTCACAAAATGAACATTTATAGGGGTATCTAGAGTCTAGGTAGTCCTCTGATTATTCAATTTGAAGATCATTTTCTTATCACCTCTGATCAAGTCAGTGGCTTATCAGAATTATACTGATATGATGAACTGCTACTTCTGGTTCTTGGATGTTGTCTTCATATCAGTAAAAGTCATGGTTGCAATTTGACTTCCTGTCTTCTTTTTTAGTGAAAGAAGATACTTAACATTGTCAGAAAATAAAGTAAAAAAAATAAAATAAAATAAAAAAAAAATAAAGTGACAAGGTTCTGTGATTCCAGTAGTATGGATGTCCTTGCTCAGAAAAAAAGTTAAACTATTCAAGATGGTTTATTTTTCCTTAAAGATAATAATAAATAGAATTCATTGTAATAATAGAATTCAATATAGATAATAGAATTCATTATCTTAAAATTATAAGAATTTTTTCTTATAATTTAGGTTCAGTTTAGGGCATAACAACTGTTCTCAATTTCTTTAGTGATTAGAATTTTAAATTATACTAAAGGTGAGTATGTTATAAAAATCCATAGAATAACCAGGCCTGTTATAAATATCAATGGATGTTTATCCTAAACTTTTATAAATTAGTTTCATATAAAATTTCTGTTGTTTTCTTAACCTTTCCTTATCTATTCTTTTTTCTAACTCTTTAAAATAATACTTTTATTTGATCTTTTTTTCTAGACCCTCACTTTTATGTACCAGGACATTAAAGTATCTAATACCAAGGACAAATTGAATAGAGATAGAAACTAGAAATTAAAATATATCTTTTCCCCCTTAATGGTTTAGTCTTTCAAGTCATTCTAGCAGCAGAATATCATTTCTGGAATTAAACTTTGTTTGCTTCTTCCTTTCCAGAGGCATAGAAAGAGAGAAATAAGAGTCATGTTATGTAATAGAACTTAGTGAAAAAAATCAACTAAAGTATGATAGGCTTATTATTAACAGTATTATATCACTACTTCTGATATTTTCTGTTACTAATAATTGGCTCTTATTATAGGCATATTCTACCCCTTTCCCATCTTCCCTAATTTTATTTATTTATTTATTTATTTTTCCATTTTCCCTAACTTTAGAGAGACAAAATTATGTTAGCACTTTAGACTCTCTATACTTAGCATTTCCCACATTTATTTGACTGAAGACTTTTTTTTTAAATATGGGGAGCATTTAACAAGATTAATGTTTCATAGAAATGCTGTTTACTTAAAATTTTTAACTGATAAATATTTAGTAATGGCTGCCAATTCCTCTAATAATTTCAAACTGATCTTTTAAGGTCTTTTAAAAACCCTAAACCCACACATACACGCATGCACAAGTGCACACGCATACACACATACATGAACACTAAATGTTTAATTTAAAAAATTAGAAAATACAGTGAACCACAACACCTGTTGGTAATACCATCCCTTATGTAAAGGGATGTAGTCCTCTCTAATATTACATCCAGGCTGGAGAAAGTGATTCTCGGCCAGTTCTTGGCTAAATCTTGAGAGCCTGACAGCTTCCTCCAAAGTGCCCTTTGGAGCCCTGAGTCCAGAATAAGGAGTCAGGCTAATTCTGACTTGCAGTGAGGGAAAAGGGCTCAGGCTACCTTGTTTTGCTCCCTGTTTAATCTCCCTGGTGCCTAGATCAGAGCCTGGCAAATAGTTTTTGTAGAATGAATAAGTGAATTGAATGAGTGAATGTGTGAATAATGGGGATGCCACTTGACTTTGTCCCATCATGGTTTGCACTAGTCATCCATTTCCTAGTTGATATTATATTACTAGACAGTAATATCATTTCATTTCATGAAATGAAATGAAAATGGCTTGTTTTGATTTGTTGGTGAGAAATTTGGTATTGGTGATATTTTTATTATTTTGGGAAATTAATTTTCATGTAGAAAATTGAACCAAAGTTATGCTGGAGAAGAAACAGGTTTTTTTTTTTCTGTTTGGTAAAAGGTACTTTAAAAAATTCAGTGATACCTCTTATGTCTTATCTCTTTTACAGTGGTACTTATAGGAAAATTTGGATCTTCTTGCAGTTTCTTGATTGTGTCTTAAACTGATGATGGTAATTTTTGGTACTAAACTTGTCAGATATGTTATATGTGCATGGATTTACTGTCTCAGACTTTCAATATTCGATATGTTAGGAATATGACTAAGTTTTTATTTTAATATAATTACATTATTTTATTTTATAGGTCCATTCAAAAGCTCGGAGAATTAAATATTGGAATGGATAGCCTTGGTAATGAGGTACCAGTGCTCAACCAGCAATGTAATGGGAACAAAGGCAATGGATCTAATAATTCTTCTGTAACTAGTTTTTCTACACCACCCCACGACTCTAGTCAGAGATTAACCCATGATGCTTCAAATATTCATGCAAGTACTCCTCGTATTCCTGGCTCAGTAAATCATATACCTTTTCTTGAGGAATCACCTTGTGGAAATCAAAGGTATGTGCTTTACTTTGTAAGACCTGGAAATGTTAACTTCAAACTAATAAATAGAAACATAGAAAGTTGAATTTCTCTTATCTATTTTCTTCTACTAACTTCTGAATCTCTTAATTATCTTTATTCTCCTATTTTTCTTTTTGCTTTCTTACCACCATCAAGACAATTCTATTTTCTATAACCCCTCTTACTCAGAGATCATACAGCTTTAGGCTTTATATTCTCCCCAGTTTTTCCCCCTTGCCATTGGTAACTTTCAACAAATAATCTTTTAATTCACAGGCTTCCAGGGCATAAAAAGTTGTTTTATGACATGGTGGAGAGATTGCAGTAAGAATCTGGGCAGCTCTGGTAGTTACAGCAATTGAGACTTCTTACATGTTTATCTTTTCACTAGTCAGAGAAAAATTTTCATCTTGCTATCATTAGTAAACAGGTGTTAACTTATGCAATGGAAATAGTTGAGCATTTTCTTCATCTGTTATAGCATTAAACCACCTTAGAGTGGTTCATTTTAAAATGCATAACTTGCTCCTGGCATTTGTAAAGAACTGGCTTTATAGATTTAGTATCAGAAGCTCTAGTTTTATACTTAAGGACATAAATTTATCTAATACTTGCTTCTTTATTACAGTTTCTATTACAATTTTTTGTGTACCCCTAAACTAGAACTCAAATTTTAAAATTTATTTTTATTTCTATCAAAGTAATATACATACATGGTATAAAAGGACAAATAGGACTTTAAGGCTTAAGACAAAACAGAATCCCTTATCTTACCCATCTTTGTTCATGACTTCTATCTTTAGTAGGCTGCCATTTTCAACCTAGATAGCTGTTTCTTTTCTCTGTGTCTCCACATTTCTGAAAAATATGCTTCTATTGCTGTTTTTATTGTCCCTTGATTCCCTGCCAGTTAGATTTAGGTACCATACTACTTACCCACAACACATTAATTTTGTCTACACCTTCTTATAATATATGTTGGTTTTTGTTTAAAAACTAAACAAAATAGGTTAACTAGTGTTAGCGTTACTATGGCCATGTAAATGTTATTTACAACTGAGTCATATAAGACGAATATATTTCCTTTTCGCAGAACTTTTTTCCATGGAGAGAGTAATGGCCTCATTTGTGGTGTGCATCGTATGTGTGCACATGCTTAGTACCTATCACTAAACTATCTGCAGATACTATGACAGAACTGTAAGATCATAAAACTCCTCATTACAGTAAAAAATATCAGGTACTTTTTCTTTCCGTTTTCTTTCCCCTCTGGGAAACACCCCTCCAGGATCATTCCTGCTTCACTTTATGTTCGTTACTTCTAAGCCATTTTATTCAGGCCTAGAGAGTCGTGGGGTGTTCCTTCACTATTCTCTTGGGAATTTCCTTTGCCTCTTCGCTGTATTGGATTCCCTGTTTTCAGGATCTCATGTAGTTTCCCGAAAAGGGGTACAACATCAGAGAAGTTTCTGAGACCTTCTGTGTCTAAATATTTAATTTTTGACTTTTTAGTATAGCTGAGTAAAGAATCCTACAATGGAAATCATTCCTCAGAGTTTCAAAGGCATCACTTCATGGTCATGTACATATTGAAAAGTCTGATGCCATTGTGATCTGATCCTTTGAATGAGGACTGCTGCTTTTTCTACCGTGGAATCTTTTAGGACTTTGTCTCCCCCGATGTTCTAAAGCTTCATGATGATATACATCAGAGTAGGTCTGTTTTACTTCATTTTGCTGGATCCTTCGTGGGCTTTTTAAATCTAGATTCATAAATAGTAGAATATTGAAAACATATTTATGTAGCAGTTTTCTTACCTCTATTTTCTTTTTTTTGGTATTACTTTTATCTTCCAAGCTCTTTATTATTCTCTAATTTTCCTTAACTTTTTAAATAGATATTTTTCTTGCATTGTTTCCTCTTGTGTTTCTAAGGATTTTAATTATATTTGGGTAGCTTTTGTTTCCTTAATTGTCTTTAGTCTCCATTTAAAAATTTTGTTTTGTTTTGGCTGTGTCCTATGACTTGTGGTATCTTAGTTCCCTGTCAAGCGTTGGAACCTGTGTCCCTTGCGGTGGAAGCATGGAGTCCTAACCATTGGGCCACCAGGGAATTTCCTGGACACTGTTTTTTTATTTAGGAGGCTTTCTTCAAGCATTTATAAGAAGTAAGGTATTTTTTAAAAATGGCTAGTTGGAAGGAAGGGCCACAGGTATGGATGCATCTGTTTACCTGTTGGCCTCACAAAAAAGTGATTAAATAAAAACATTGTTTTATTGTGGGACCCTCAACTGTCTAGTCTCTGTTAGTCTTTTCTCTTGGACCAGATAATTGTTCTAAAGAGCAATCCAGGTTCCTCCTTGGGTTAAAATTTAACCATAGTGACCAGGATTCTGGAACTAAGCAGGGAAAAGGTAGTGGACATCTTACTATGTAATTTGTACAGTTCAGTTCAGTTGCTCAGTCATGTCTGACTCTTTGCGACCCCATGAATCGCAGCATACCAGGCCTCCCTGTCCATCACCAACTCCTGGAGTTTATGTCCATGGAGTCGGTGATGCCATCCAGCCATCTCATCCTCTGTCATCCCCTTCTCCTCCTGCCCCCAATCCCTCCCAGCATCAGGGTCTTTTCCAGTGAGTCAACTCCTTGCATGAGGTGGCCAAAGTATTGGAGTTTCAGCTTCAGCATTGGTCCTTCCTTTAGGATGGACTGGTTGGATCTCCTTCCAGTCCAAGGGACTTTCTAGAGTCTTCTCCAACACCACAGTTCAAAAGCATAATATTTTGGCACTCAGCTTTCTTCACAGTCCAACTCTCACATCCATACATGACCACTGGAAAAACCATAGCCTTGACTAGATGGACCTTTGTTGGGCAAAGTAGTGTCTCTGCTTTTTAATACGCTATCTAGGTTGGTCATAACTTTCCTTCCAAGGAGCAAGCATCTTTTAATTTCATGGCTGCAATCACCATGTGCAGTGATTTTTGGAACCCCAAAAAAATAAAGTCTGACACTGCTTCCACTGTTTCCCCATCATTTCCCATGAAGTGATGGGACCAGATGCCATGGTCTTAGTTTTCTGAATGTTAAGCTTTAAGCCAACTTTTTCACTCTCCTCTTTCACTTTCATCAAGAGGCTTTTTAGTTCCTCTTCACTTTCTGCCATAAGGGTGGTGTCATCTGCATATCTGAGGTTATTGATATTTCTCCTGGCAATCTTGATTCCAGCTTGTGCTTCCTTCAGCCCAGCGTTTCTCATGATGTACTGTGCATAGAAGTTAAATAAGCAGGGTGACAATGTACAGCCTTGATGTACTCCTTTTCCTATTTGGAACTAGTCTGTTGTTCCATGTCCAGTTCTAACTGTTGCTTCCTGACCTGCATATAGGTTTCTCGAGAGGTGGGTCAGGTGGTCTGGTGTTCCCATCTCTTTCAGAATTTTCCACAGTTTATTGTGATCCACATAGTCGAAGGCTTTGGCATAGTCAATAACGCAGAAATAGATGTTTTTCTGGAACTCTCTTGCTTTTTCGATGATCCAGCAGATGTTGGCAATTTGATCGCTGGTTCCTCTGCCTTTTCTAAAACCAGCTTGAACATATGGAAGTTCATAGTTTATATATTGCTGAAGCCTGGCTTGGAGAATTTTGAGCATTACTTTACTAGTGTGTGAGAGGAGTGCAATTGTGCAGTAGTTTGAGCACTCTTTGGGATTGCCTTTCTTTGGGATTGGAATGAAAACTGTAATTTGTACAGTTTGACTTAATCTTTTTCCCAGAATGGCTTCTCATTCCTTCCTTACAGCTAACCATGCTTTGTGTTACAGAATCTAGCATCTCTTAACAAATGGCTCCAGAGAGTAATTATGACTGGGATCAGTGTGGGTTATAAATAAATATTATAACCCCCAAAGAAATAAATGTTAGAGATTGAAAAGGTAAATTATTTCCTGTTTTGATATTCAAAAACAGTAAATGGTACTTGAATTTCTTTCCATTCACACAGTTCATCAGAACTTTCGGTCATTAAGCCACCTCTTGGAGATTCTTCAGGGAATCTGTCAAGATCAAGAGAGGAAGAGGTAATACCTAGGGGAAGGAGGTTTTGTTATTTTTATTTTACTTGCAAAGGAAGTATATTTACTTGTCAGGGAATTCTCAATTTAAGAAAAGAACCATCTTTAAGTAGTCCTTATTGTTAATGGTGGTAGTAATCTCAAGGTGGTTGAGTTTTCACTGACTGAAATGAAGGGGTTGCTGAGAAATCACATTTTGAGAGTATTCATATTAATGGTTCAGTGGTGACCTTGGTGCATGAGTTGGAGCTGTGTGGTTAGTTAGCTGAGATATTTAACATCTTTACTCCTTTGGACTGTGCATCAATACATTTGTTTTTTGCTTTGGAACCAGATATCTTTCCCTAACTAGTATATACCTTCACTCTGTCTTATTTTCTCTAGTTCAAATTTTAATCCCATAAACAGTTATTTTTTAGATGCTTATGGGACTAAACAGATGACATAAATGAATAAAGTTGATTATTTTTGTGATAAGTTCATAGGAATACTTGTCCCTTTCACAAAGAAATATGCTGACCTAATGTTTCCAGTTCTTTTGATTTTCAAGAAAACCTAGAAAGTTGGATTTTTATGTGAAATCTTATTTTTTAAATGACTGAATTTTTAAAAAATTTAAATACACTGGAGAAGAGCAAGTAAGGTTGTGGCTCTGCCGCTTCTGCTATAAAGCAACCCTAAGTAACTATTATTAAGGTGCCATTGGCCATGTAATCAACGAGTCATTCCACTCCATTTTTCTTATCTACCTGTGTTATTCATTTGGTAGTCAGCCTTTCTTGTATATGGCTTAATGGAAAATGTAGTATTTCTAGTCAAATACATTGATATGAATAATATAAGAATAAGAATTCAATTCAGTTACATAAGACAGAGTCTAATATATCAGGTTTACCTCCTACTCCCCAGTGAGGATGTTTTGCTGAATACATAAGTTTGGGTAGGGAGATGCATAATCTCTTCATTGATATAATCACTATGGGTTCTAGAGCTCTCAGCATACAATCAGAGCTGAAGTAATTTGCCTTTGGAAAGTATGAGTGTCAAGTATATACACGAAGACAAAGTTTCGGTGGGTCCCTGCACCACAGCCAGCCTGGAGGGCTTTGCTCGAGTCTAGGACCCAGTCCTAATCTGGGTAGCGGGCTGGTTTCAGGTGACTCCGGTGGCAGGAGTCGCCAAAGCCTTTATACAGTGCTGCTCTCCTTCCTCAGAGTGGGCCGTGAGCACACAGGTTGACAGTTGAAAGTGGGAATGAGGCTGAAATTAAAGGTCCTGATTAAAACCATTTTTACAACTTTAAAAAAAGGGTATTTTACAATTTGAATTTGAAATAGTAAAGTAGTCATTGCTGGAGATAATGGTAAGCTTTTTTTTTAACCCTAAAGTGATTAAATAACAGTATTTTATATTTCCTACTTTTAGAAACATGAACAATGGTTTGTTGTAAGAACTGTAAATGTGGGCTGTTTTTTTCTTGACAGTTGAAGAGAACTTAATATAAGAATGCATATTTTTATGTTTTGTCATAGAAAAGAAGAAAAACTTGAATGTCTATGAGCTATCCAAGCTTAGTTTAGCAATGAGCAGCAAAAATAGAAAAATTCGGTTTATTTTAGATTTGCCATTCAAAAGAATGTATGCTTGTATTGATAGTGAACGGTAAAGTGATAAAGTGAATAATACAGTTCAAATGAATTTAAAATGGAATAAACATGAATTCTTTCAGATTCTTTTTTTCATAGAATGACTTTCATATTCATTCTGTCCATAGGATGACAAATCAAAGAAGCAGTTTGTTTGTATTAATATCCTAGAAGACACACAAGCTGTTAGGGCAGTGGCTTTTCATCCAGGTGGTGGTCTCTATGCTGTTGGTTCAAATTCAAAAACTCTGAGAGTATGTGCCTATCCAGATGTAATTGATCCAAGGTAAGGAGAGATGGTTTATAGTGCCATTTTTACTTTAGTTTTTAGTTTAGCTATATGGCCCCCTTTTTACGAATTGCCTTTTCAGTAGTGTTTTTCTTTTCCTTTTTTTAAGCTTTTACAGTTTTGTTTTCAATACTTAGAAAATATATATAAGAATCACCAATTAACTTTATAAGTTGTTTTTCATAAAATGTTTTTAATTAGGCCACTGTCCACTCAGTAGCCTAGTTTTCTTTATTTCTGTTGTTTTTTCTAATTTTTTAAAAAAAATCTGCAAGATCCTTATATTCTAGTTAAATTACATAAAGACAAAGTAATGCTAGTTATAGACTTGGAGAAAAATTTAAATGTCTTATACTAATAGCTTCAAAGGAGTATTAGGTTGAGGTGTGTGATATTTGACCATTTTGACCTAGAAAGATTCAGTTTTCATTTGGTCAACCTAACTATGATTTTACTGTCTTGTTTAAACAGACTATGGGATTTGAAAATAAGGGATATATCTTTAAAGGCATATGTTGCCAAAAAAAAAAAAAAACCCAAGCATATGATGTTATGTATTAGGTATACAACTAATTCTTTAAAGTTACTGAGAAAGCAAATATCTTAGATGTAATCTCACAGAAAACTGGATTTGGGCTCTTTTTTGTCACTTTGTTTGTTAAGGCTTTTACTGTCAAAATAAATGGGCATGAACTATTTGGTTGATTTTGTGGTTAGAGAAATGGCCACAAATGGAATAGTTTTCATACCACTAGACAAAAACATTCAAGCAAAACAAGCCACAGAGCTTGAAAATTTTAAATACGAAAAACAGTACATGTCATAATATGTTTTGGAAATTTTTTACAACCCTTAAGCCTTTTTTTTATTATAACCTGTTTGGAGAACAGAGGGGTGAGATTATTTATTTGCACTTTTTGGTATATCCCTGTGTCTGAAACTAGAAATTTAGGCTTTTGGTCTGTAGTAGCATTTAAAAGTTAAGAAAAGGAATATGGGTCATGTTAGGTGATAGTAATGTCATTTTTGGTGCTAGAGGATTATATGAGAGAGAACAGGCAGAATTCCAGATCAGAGAGTGGAAAAGAGCAACAAAATTAGGAGGCAGCACCAAAGACCCTATATGTTTAGGGTTCATCTGATCTTAAACTAACTCTCCCTTTTTGTGTTTTTCATGCTGGCACAAGTGTTTCATAGACTTTTCTTGAATAAACTGATTTATATGAAAAATAAATTCTTTTTTAAAAAATATATTTTGAGCTCCTTCTCTGTGCTAGTCTTTGGGGATAGTTGAGAGTAAAACAGATATGTTTATTGACCTTATGGAACTTCTGTTTTAATGGAGAAGGTGGACATTATCCAGATAAACACACTCATAAATGTAATTATACATTGTGATAGTTGCTATGAAGAGAAAGTACAAGGTGCTGTAACAGTAAAATGGGGAGGTGAGGGAACTGGGGAGTCAGAGTAGGACCTCTTTGAAGAAGAGATGTTAAAGTTGAGATCTGTGGGTGAATAGAATCTAGCCTTGTGAAGACGCCTGCGGGGCGGGCTGTGCTGCTAGCGGGCTGCGGGAGACAGGCAGGGTCAGGGGCTGGCCGGGAGACCCCGAAAAGGACAAAGGACAGGAGGCGGGGTCAGGGGACCTGTCATGGGCCAGTGGGGCCCGGGCGAGGTCGATTGGAAGGGGGGCGGGGGTGGGGAGACTGGGAGGAGGTCTGGGCTTGGAGGCGGGAGGAGTACTCAGAGGCACTGGGATAGGGGTCAGGGCATTGGGTGAGCGGGTCAGGGCTTCCCTGGCAGCTCAGCTGGTAAAAAATCCGCCTGCAATGTGGGAGACCTGGGTTTGATCCCTGGGTTGTGAAGATTCCCCTGGAGAAGGGAAAGGCTACCCACTCCAGTATTCTGGCCTGGAGAATTCCATGGACTGTATGTCCATGGGGTCGCAAAGAGTTGGACACGACTTTCACTTTCACACTTTGTGAAGACAAGGAAGAAGATAAGGTTAGAGGGATCATGAAGTGAGAAAGAAAGAGCTTGGCTTTTTAAGGAACCAAAACAAGTTCAGATCGGCTGGAGTATGGTGAGCGGAGTGTGATAAGGCTACAGAAGTAGATGTGAACTAAATTACGCATAGCTTTGTGTCCATTTTGGATTTTATGGTGACTGCAGAGGGAAGCTGCTGCAAGTTTTCAACAGAACAGTACTGTGATATAAACTCTGGGGCAGATGACAGTAAGATTAAATGCTAAGAGATAGGTAGGAGGCTGTTGTCAATGGCTGGTGTGATAGCAGTGGTGATGGAGCAAAATGGATGAAGGTAAAATCCATTTAAAGAATTAGTTGGCCCACTCCAGTGTTCTTGCCTTGAGAATCCCAGGGATGGGGGAGCCTGGTGGGCTGCCGTCTATGGGGTCACACAGGGTCAGACGTGACTGAAGTGATGCAGCAGCAACAGCAGCAGCAGTGAACTCGATATACAACTGAAAAGAGAATCTTTTGATCTGGTTTATTTTCTCTCTTTTTATCACTATTAAACACCTTCTAAGAATTGAAGATTTATCAATATTCTTTCTTGTTCTTTAAAAATTTCTTACTTATGAAAATTTTAAGCATACACAGAAGTGGAGATTAGTACACTGAAATGCAATGATTGTCAAGAGTTTTGTTGTATTTGCTTCATCCTTTTTGTTTGCTGAAGTATTTTAATGGATATGTCCTTTCACCCTTTAAGATGGATCTCCAAAAACATGTATTAATAAATTTTCTTACAGAGACTTGATATTATCATTATACCTAATAAGGTCTTAAGTCTATTTTTTAAAGTACAGGTAAGAGGCTACTACTCCACTAAACCAATGTTCCGTTCAGTTCAGTCGCTCAGTCGTGTCCGACTCTTTGCGACCCCATGAATTGCAGCACACCAGGCCTGCCTGTCCATCACCAACTCCCTGAGTCTACCCAATGTTAGCTTCCCATTAAAGGCCAAGCTCTCAAGGAGCATGGCATTTAAGACCTTCCTCAGTTGGACTTGCAGCTGCTCACCCATCCTGTCTTTCTCAGTCTCTGGAATGCCCCAGGTTTCTCCCAGCCCCACAGACTTTTTCCCATGCCACATGCTGGACCTGTCTCTTTGCTGTGTTTTATGTTCACTGAAGCAGTTCACCTGCTTTCATCTTTTTGTATAATAATTCTTCTTGTCCTTTAAGGCCTAGTACCTTGTACTGGACTATAACATTTATATTCAGTACTTCTTTACTGTATGTGGATAGTCATGAAGCATCTATCCCTGCCAGATAGTAAACTCAGGACAGCGCTCTAGCTGCTATTATTTTTTCTCTATCCTTTGTCTTCTCTTTGCCCCAGGCAGTTGCTCATATTATATGTTTAATAAATGCTTATCGAACTTTTTAAATTTGGAAGCACTATTAGCTCTTTTTTAGAAATCTTTTGAGTTTCTGAATTAAAATCCATGAAAAATATGTGAAATGAAGACTTAAAAATATCCTGTTCCATATGTGGTCTGAAATAAGACTCAAGATTAGTATAATAATGGTTAATAATGTTATATTTGGATTTTTGTTTTAAATATGCCTTAAATTTATTTCATCTAAGATTTTGAAGAGTGTTCTTAACATGTTGTCTGATATGTTTTTGCTCTCTCCCTCAAGAACCATGATACAGAAACTTCGCATTCATTTACTAAGCAAGAAATTGAAATATCTTTTTGTAATTTTTCTTTCCAGTGCACATGACATACCTAAGCAGCCAGTGGTACGTTTTAAAAGGAATAAACATCACAAAGGATCCATTTACTGTGTGGCCTGGAGTCCCTGTGGGCAGTTACTTGCGACAGGGTCAAATGACAAATACGTCAAAGTGCTGCCCTTCAATGCAGAGACTTGTAATGCAACAGGTAGGGGCCGAGTATGTGAGCAGTAGCCCCTAGTGTGTTCTTTATGTTTCCCCGTGTGTGTCTCTGATACAGCTCTGTACTGTTTTTGGTAAGATCTAAGAATATACCCTTAAGAATTGTTTTACGTTCCCATTGCTTGCATTTGTGCGGCATTATTCTTTTTTAGTAAGTTCTTACAAGGTGGCTGGGTGAAAACTTCCAGAATTATACTTGTGAATATTTTCTAGAGTATTTGTTTTTTTCTTTCATTTTCTTTTGAGATAAAAGCCAAGAAGGTAACTCTGTATATAGCTCTGTTTTAGTGATGATGGTAACTGAGTCGATATTTTGATTTCTTGAAGATTTTTTTTTATTCAGTAAAATGAAATTGATTATTATATCAATCCCCAAATGACTATAGAGCATACCATTCTACCATTCTCCTCCTCTTGGTCAGTTTGGAGGCAGTTTAACAATCTTTAAATTATCACAGTAAGTTGAGCAGCGTCTTTTTTTAAAATTCTTATTGCTGTTTCAGGACCGGATCTGGAATTTAGTATGCATGATGGGACAATTAGAGACTTGGCATTTATGGAAGGCCCAGAGAGTGGTGGAGCTATTTTGATAAGTGCTGGAGCAGGGGATTGTAACATTTATACAACTGACTGTCAGAGAGGACAGGGCCTCCATGCTCTGAGTGGACATACTGGTATGTGATATCAGTCTGAGATGCTACTCTTCTTTTTGTTCATCCCATGCTTTTTTCCCCAATGCATTTTCATTAATGAGGGTATATTGCATCAAAAGGAATTTCTTCAGGAGAAGAACATTTTATTTCAAAAACTAAGTCATGAACTTTGGTAACAGCACAGTAACTGTAGCTGACATTTTCCTGTTTGCTAAAGCCTTTACTTATGCACATAATTCCTTAATTTACCCCTCACAACAACCTTATGAGCCTGAAGTTCTGTCTCCATTTTATACGTGAAAAAAGCAAGACTTGAAAAGGCAAAATGACTTGTTTTATCTTACGGCTGAACATGACAGAACAGAGGTATCTCCCCAGGTCTCTCCCTTCCAAAGCTGGTGATGTAACCCCGCAATCCTGTGTTTCCTCTTTGGAAAATTTGCCATAATTTCAAATGGTACTTTTTTTTTCAGTACTGGTTATGATGTCCTGAAATATTTGACTCACCACAAAAGGTTTATGATTTTGATACAAGTTTTACTGAATTTTATTTTTTGAAAATTGCCAATATATTTGATATATGTGGAAAATCTCTACCATACAGTTTGAGTAACTAGATTATAAACACACTCAACAATAAAGAATACTTAGCTTTGAATGTGTTATAGACAATTACTGTCCCATAGTAATAACTGACTCTGTGATCTCTTATAGGGCATATTTTAGCACTTTATACTTGGAGTGGCTGGATGATTGCATCTGGTTCCCAAGATAAGACTGTTAGGTTCTGGGATCTTCGAGTACCAAGCTGTGTTCGTGTTGTTGGCACAACATTCCATGGAACTGGTAGGTTTTTCTGGAATTTAAATACATTTATATGAGAAAGAAACTTTATAAATTGCATTGACCTACTTCTTCTCCCCTGCAAAATATGTTAAAAAATAGGAACAATATAAACTAAATACTTGGTATTTTTGAGTAAATTCTTACTTTAAATTTACTTTAAATTCTTAAATGCCTTCATCTGTTATTTTATTTGTAAAAATAATATTCAACTAAGGAAACCTAGACCCAGGGAGATTAAGTTTCATGCACTAATTATTCTGTTAGCAGGGCATTTTAGAACCCATAGCTTTAAAAAGAACATTTTTAAGTGCATACATATGGCAGAAATTGAAATTGAACAAAAGGTTATAGATCATTTTCTTCCTACTCCCATTTCTTGGTGTCTTTCCCTAAGGGACCAGTTTCTTATTTATTATTCTAGAAATACTCTGAGTATATAACCAAAATGTTTGTGTATATTATAATTTCCCTTCTCCTTTAAACACACATATACACAGACACAAATTGCAGCATATTTGCCTTACTTTTTAAACTTAACATGGATTGCTCCATGTAAACTGAGGTTACTGCTCTTTGTGTTATATAGATCACCTTTTAAAATATTGGTATCTTAATAGTGACACAGTATTCTGCCATTATTTTTATTTTAGAGTCCCTTTTCTGCCTTTCTGTTTTTTAACAGAAATTCTAAGTTACTTTTCCAAGTGAAAACGCCTGTCTTACATTCTTAATTTTTTTGTTTTCTTTGAAATGATTTTTCCTCTCAGCGTTCATGGACATTGTTCTGTACTTTGAATCAACTAAGATATGTTCTTCCACTTGTCTTCTCATGGTCAAGTGTTTCTCATATTTGGTCTTAGCTCTTTCTAGCACCTAGACAGAAAAGTCTTCTTTGCCTTAGTTGGGACCTTATTGTTATTTCTATCTTTGAATTCATTTATTTCCTTTAGACTTTTTATCAGTGCTTAAGACTATATATTTGTGTGTTTTTTGCTGGTCTCCTTCAATATAAATAGATTTTAAGTTTCACAAAGGCAGCAGTCATATATATTTTATTTCTCAGGGTAGATTTAGCACCTACCATAGTGCCTGACTCAAAGCAGTAGTGTTATAATAACTGTTGAATAAATGAACCTAGATTTCTGTTGTCACCATAAACTTTACATGTGTAAAGCTAAACGCATTATATCCTCTCTTCTTCCCATTTTCTCTTTTTGATAATGGTTCTCTTATTAACTTATGCACCTAGATTTGAAATCTGGGGCTCATTTTTCACTTCTTTTTTTTTGCCCCCAGTCAGGCAGTTAATTGCCAAGACTATTGATTCTTTATTCAGTTTTTTCCTGAAATCTGTGTGTCAACATTCAGGCTCTTATTCTCTTGATTATTTTGCTATTCTATCTTATCTTCCAGTGGGTTCCCTTCTGTAGTCTGTCCATTTTAATTTGATACACACTTTCACGCATATTAATCTTCCTAGAGCACTCCTTCGATCATGTAAGTCTCTTGCTTAGAAACCTGCAGTGATGTTGTACTCTGTACAGGAAACAAGCTCACACCCTATAGTCTGGCTTTCAAGATGCTTGACAGGTTTAGCCCTAACCTGCCTTTATGTCTTAGCTACGAGCTACTTTTATGTTAACATGTTAAATCAAGTAACTCCAGCCAAACTAAACTACCTATCCTTAAATGTTTTTATTCGTTTCCTTTAAACATCTTCTCATGTAATTCTTCTTGATAGCCTCTTTTCTCTGTCAAAAATTCAAGCAAAGATTATTTTTAATTACATGTATGTGTAATACATGTAAGTGCATTCTCTCTTATTTATACTGTTTACTGTTCTTCAGGATCTAACGTATGTCCCCTTTTTCTGTGAAGTCTTCCCAGGCCACTTTGGTCTACAGTAGTGTTTGTGAACCTTATTTTCATTATTGCTTCCCCTAAGGGGAAAAACAAAATTTTTTTCCTAACAAGAGAAATTAAATACTAAGGAATGAGATTTTTGTTTGGTAGGGCTAAACTTTGAAGGGCTACAAACCCTTGTTAACATTTAGGATTTTTTTTGTCCCCTGAGAACCATTTTGCACCCCCTTGGAGGCATTGTTGTATGGCATAAAGGGTCTGACCTGTGGACTCAGAGCTTATTTTTTGTTCAGTTCCTGTTGGTAGTTAATCATATGTTGCTTAGAGATATTTCTCACACTGTGTCCTAAAACATATTTTGTTATTTAATCTTTTGTTCCCAGCTAGACTCTGAGCTAGGCATAGGAGAATTCTGGACACTTAATCAGCAGTGAGAACACTGCATTGGGAAAAATGGCTCATCTATTGCACTATAGGTAATGCTCCAGGGGGTTCTCTCTGAGAACCAAAAAAAAAAAAAAAAGATCTTTCTCATTCCTCACAGAATCTTGCTTCTAAGGATGCAAGTATTTATTAGTTTGACTATTGGATTCTTCCATAACTGAACAGTATTAACAAGCTGTATTAAATATTTAGTGTATGATTCAGTGAAAATAAATAGCTGTTGACATTTAACTGTACTGATTTTTGCATATTGAAACTTTCATTCCTCCTGCTCTATAGGCAGTGCAGTGGCATCTGTAGCTGTAGATCCCAGTGGCCGTCTTTTAGCCACAGGACAAGAAGATTCCAGCTGCATGTTATATGACATAAGAGGAGGAAGAATGGTACAAAGTTACCACCCTCATTCCAGTGATGTTCGCTCTGTTCGATTCTCTCCTGGAGCTCACTACTTGCTAACAGGATCCTACGATATGAAAATAAAGGTGACAGACCTACAAGGTGATGGAAGTTGCTCTTCCCCCTTTTTTTTTAAGTCTTTCCTATTGTATTTGGGATGGTTAATCTAGTGTGATTGACTATACATCATTTTCAAGTTTGTTTTATAGTTTTTATGAGCAAATTACTTGGTAATGTATTGTGATGAATTGTGACAAATTGTTAAACCTAGTGAATAGTTTTACTTTTATTGTTAAATGGTTTCTAAAATATTTAAAAAGAATCAACATTTATTATATTGGATCATTTTGAGTTCAATGATAGTAGATGTTAAAATATACATTTATGTACTCCTATTTACTCCTACTTTAAAATACTTAGGGTATTAATATAATCTGTATATTTCCAGTATCTAGTTTTGTTTTTAAACATATATTAAGCAGATGTTTATTGTATACCAACTAGGGACAGATAGATGAATAAGACCGGTAACTTTCTTACAGACGGAGATTATATTTTAGAGGCTAATAAAAAAGCAAACTAATAAACAATATAATTTTAGGTATTGGCTAGTGCTATTAAAAAATTATCAAGGTAAGAGAAAGTAACAAGGTAGACAGGGGAAACCTATGCTAGACAGGCTAGAGGAGGTCTCACCAGGAAGTGCCATTTGCACAGAAACCTGATGAGAAGAACAAGCCATGCCAGGACCCTAGGAACAGACCATAGGTCAAGGTGCTGAGGCAGGAATGGGTTTGGTTTAATCATGACACTACAGGAAACTAGTGTGGCTGGAATTTAGTGAACCAGAGGAAACAGAGGCAGGAGAATAAATCAGAGGCGGGGTTTTGTAGGCATTTTAAAAAGCAGAATAAGAATCCTTTGGAAGATTTAAAACAGGGAGTGATATGGTCTGAGATTTTAAAAAATAATTTTGAGTTATGGGGACAGTGGATAAGTATAAATAATAGTGAGAAAGCAACTGGACCTATTCCATGGGAGATGATGGTGGCTTGGACTAGGGTTGTAGAGGGGGAGGTGTAATAGTAAGAAGTTGACTGAATTAGGAATGTATTTTAATTTGTTTCCATTAGATTTGGGCAGGGAGAGAAAAGGAATCAGTGCTGATTCCTAGGTTTTTGGCATGAGCAAAGCAGATGGTACCATTGAGATGAGGAAGACAGGCAGAGAGAGAAATAGGTTTAGGCAAGAAAATCAAGAGTTTGCTTTAAACAAGTTAAACTTAAGATGACTGTTAAGGCAATCAAATGAGATGTCAAATAGCTACTTGTATACTAGCCTGAAACGCAGGTGAGAAGTCACCGTTGGAGATGAAATAGGCATGGATGGTGTAAGTATATAAATGGCTGTGGTAGCATGGTACTAGATGAAATTTTGTAGCAGGTGAGGGAGAAAGGAAACAAATTTGCAAAGTCAGCTGGGGTTCACCAGAATTTAAGTCAGGAAGAAGAGGGCAGTCATCAGAGGAGACTGGGGTGTAGTGGCACTGAAGTCGAGGAGACAGGAGGAGGAGTGAGTTTCAAGGGGAGAGTGGCAGCTGTGTCACGTTGCTGTGCAGGTGTTAGCAGATACTGCTCAGGTAAGTAGGTCTTCAGTAATTTAAGCTGTTTAAACTTTCCAGTCTACTATATTAATGTGTTAGGCTTCTATACACTGTAGTATCTTAAGGTAAATCTATACATATTCTGTGATGTAAATCAAACCTCTTTTCTTTAATTTAGGAGACCTCACCAAACAGCTTCCTATAATGGTGGTGGGGGAACACAAGGACAAAGTGATTCAGTGCAGATGGCACACCCAGGATCTTTCCTTCCTGTCATCCTCTGCAGACAGAACTGTAACCCTCTGGACTTACAATGGATAGAGTACAGCCAGTGCCAGTCTATGCAGTGAAAGCAGAGACTTAAGACTACTGAGCGGTGAACATTACCAATTTGAAGAACATGGGCTGACCTGGAAAGTGGCTTAGCACAAGGAAGCCCCTTTTTACCATGTACCCCTGTGATAGGAGCTGTTGCTGGTGGTATTCTGCAGTGCTTTGAGTCTTCACGTGAGCGCGTGCTGCTGTGACCTGCTGTCTGTAGTCTTGTTGCCAAAGCCTGCAGAAGAGCTCTTACGTTAGTGTGCCCTCAAAGTTATGGTGGATGATGTGTTTTCAGTTTAGTATTAAATGCATTCCTTGGTCTTTGCCTAATAACAGTTTTATATACATACTGAAACTGAACTATACTTTAAGCATATTACTACATGTAATGCAACCAAGTTCTACACAGATTAAACATAGGTATTCAGAAATTACTTTTGCTTTTCTCACAACCCCTGAGGATACTGTATCACTTTTCAGCTAGAGGTCAGAATTTTATGTCACTCCAGAGTTACATTGTTACTTTAACTAAGGATCATTATGGAGTTTTAAAATGGATGGAAACCTGCTTCTTAGTGCATTATGTGGTATAGGCCTTTTCTTTTTTCTTAAACCCAGGGATATAATTATTACTTTCTCATATTATTTTGTTTCAGGCTTAAAAGGTAAACGTGTTTGCTTCAGAAACTTGTTCATTTCAAATTTTTGAATGCAACAAGATACCTCCCTTCTAAACTGTACTGTAGGCAGAGCAGCAGCATTATGTGATGCAATACTTGATGGTACAGTAAATTTACTGGCTAGTATTTTTCCTCTTAAAATTTAAAACTTTGCCATAGACTATAGCATGGCTTGAAATGCTATGTCTGCATGATAATTTAAAATGGGAAATTTAAATTTTGCACTCCAAAAGCTTATTTGGACTTTTTTTCTTGCACTGTTTTGTGTAATTCAGAATAATGGTTTTATTTCTATGGTATTGTAGATCCTAACATTTATGTACCTTTATTTTCATATTGTACAGTAATTTACTTTAAATTATTAAATAGGCTATTTATTTTAAATGCATTTGAGTTGGTTCTAATTATTGAACTGTCTGTGCACTGTATGTAGCAAGCGTTTTTAATCTATTGTATACAAGTGGAAAGGGTATTAGAAGTGTAACTGTGCTATTATTTCAATAAAGACCTCTTCACACCTAAACTATTCCTGTCTCTCAGTCCGTGGTTTTAAGTTTAGAATGCTGTTTCTCCAGTTTACTCGGCAGTAGTGTGGCCAGTGGATGAGCCCCACAATCACTTTCTTTTTAAATCTCTTGTAGTAGTTTACTTTTTAATCCTTCCCAACTGCATAACTTTTGTGTCTTCTCTTATTCACTATATAAATAACTTTCTACCCTGAATATACTGTGAAAGTTGATTAATAAAAGCCAGGAAAAATGTATAAATTCTAAGTTGGACTGCAGCTACATTGAATTGAGTATGTTAGAAATGAAATCTGATTAGTTTGTGGCTATTCAATAGCACCGTTTTCCTACCTCTCAGGTATGCAGAAGGGAATTTTGCTAAAAACATGCCAGTCTCTTTTAGTGTACTTTCATACTTAGCACTACACATTCAAGATATTATAGCAGGTCATTCAGTGTTAAGTTTAAAAGTAGGAAAAAAAAAAAAAGGACAGTTTCTTGAGGTAAACCAGATCAACTTGATGGTAAAAAGTGTTCATAAAATTATGTCTTCTACCTCCATCACTGTCAGGAGGAAAACTTGAAGATCCTCCCATATGTTGCGTATTCATTTTCACTTTGCAGTGCATTAGATAATAAGCACTAAAAATTACCCTATTTCAATAGCTATCTGGTTACATGTCATTTTTCCTCTGCATCCACACTATCTTCTGCAGGGAAGTAAATAGATTCTTGGAGGTTCATGTGAGAGAGAAGAGAACTGGAGTATCTACGTTCTGTGACTCCTCAGTTGGGGGTTCATGGAAGGAGAGTGGGGATGGGAGGGTGGTACAGACCTTCTTGATTTCTCCCGGGCAGAAGCTTCAGAGGTCTGATTCAAGTTTCATTTTTATTTTATTTTTTTGGCCATGCCATGCAGCTTGTGGGATCTTAGTCCTCTGACCAGGGACTGAACCTGTGTCACGGCAATGAAAGTGCTGAGTCTTATCCACTGGACTTCAGGGAAACTCAAATTTCATTTTTTAAATGTTTAAGTGTTTTTAAAAATTGAGATAAGCCAAAAGACATGACAGTGAAATGGTAACCCATGAAATCAGAGAAAATACTTGCAAGTCACGTCTAATAAAGGATTAATATTCAGAATATATAAAGACCTCCTATCAAAAATCTCATTAAAAAATGGGCAAAAGACTTGAATAGACATTTCTTCAAAGATGACAGACAAATGGCCAATAAGCACGTGAAAAGATACTCTATCACTAATTAGGGAAATGCAATTGAAAACTGCTTCACACCCAGTAGGAGAGCCACTATCAAAAAAAAAAAAAACCCAAAAAAACAGGGACTTCCCTGGTGGTTCAGTGGTTAAGACTGTGCTCCCAATGCAGGGGGTACAGGTTTGAGCCCTGGTGCGGGAACTGAGATCACACATGTTACGCAGTGTGGCCAAAAAACAAAAACAAGTAGGATGCAGAGAAACTGGAACTCTCATGCACTGTTGAAGGGAATACAAAATGGTGCGGCTGTTGTGGAAAACAGTATGGTGGTTCCTCAAAAAATGAAAAACAGAATTACTGTTTGATCCAGCAATCCCACTTATAGGTATATATGCTCAAAATAATTGAAATCAGGGTCACAGATACTGTTCATTGATATTCATAGCAGCATGACTCACAAGAGCCAAAAGGTGAAAGAAACGAGTCCAACAGATAAATAAGCTGTGGTATACCATACAATGGAATAATTGAAGCCTTTAAAAAGGAAGGACATTTTGATACATGTTATAACATGGTTGATCCTTGAGGATATTATGCTAAGTGAAATAGGACAGTCACAGAAAGACAAATATTGTATGATTCCACTCAAGGTACCTGGAGTAGACAAATTCATAGAGATGAGTATCTTTGGTGGTTGCCCTGGGCAAAGAGGAAATCATTTTAAAACGTGCACAGAGTTTCAGTTTTGCAGGATGAAAAGATGTGTGGAGATGGGTGGTGGTTATACTTGCACAAAAATATAAATATCCTTAATGACAACTCTACTCTTAAAAATGGTTAAGATGATAAACTTTGTGTCAGGTGTATTTTAGTTTAAAAAAAATTGTGAGAAGCAACATGCACACTCAAGTGTACTACATAATATGCCAAATTTTAACATACTTTGAAATTCACTGCCAACAATTTATGTACACCTCTCATTGCTCCTAATGTGTAAAATTCATTATTTCCTCTTTGGAGAATTTTCTGAACCTGCAAGGCCAGTACTTAAGGACAAAATCAAAGCAAAACTTACTATTTCCAATTACCACAAAGCGTGCACTCCCCAACCCCTCCCTAGGATCCAATACTACAGGACTACTGTTGTCATTAATCATGCCCCATTAAAAAAAATATGCTCAGAAAAGATTTATGGGTTTTATTGCAAATGTTAAGTATTCGAGAACTTAGAGAAAATAAATCGATAAGAAAATACGCTTCGTACCCTTTTAATACATTTGGCTTCGAAGTAAGATCTCACTTGCAGAGTTCAGCTTATGAGGATAAAAGTCGCTCAGTCGTGTCCGACTCCTTGCGACCCCATGGACTGTAGTCTACCAGGCTCCTCCTTCCATGGGATTTTCCAGGCAAGAATACTGGAGTGGGTTGCCATGTCCTTCGCCAGGAGATCTTCCCAACCCAGGAATTGAACCTGGGTCTCCTGCATTGTAGGCAGACGCTTTACCGTCTGAGCCACCAGGGAAGTCTTAAAGAAACTGAGGCCTAAAACAGGCCGACGGAGGCTGGCCCCGCCCCCTTGACGGGCCAATCAGCCGCGAGTCCGGGAAGGCCATACAGCCGCCGGCCGAGCGAATCGATGAGGACGCGCTCCAGGCAGGAGCCCAGCTGAAGTGCTCGGCGGCTTGCGGGGCGGCTGGCCATCTTCACTAGCTGCCAAGGCTGGTGTCTGTCTTCCCGGAGAGGCAGGCGGGTGACCCGAGACGTGAGTCCGCGAGGTCGGTTGCGTTTGTGCAGCGGGCGGGTTCCACGGGCGGCGGCGCAGGCGAGGCCAGGGGCGCTGTCGGGGCCTGCGGGGAACTTCGGAGCGCGGCGTCGACCGGGGTGGGCGAGCGACTGCCCCCTTATCTTACCGGCCAGTTGGCGGCCTTAACTCTGGCTGCCGCGCGGTTGCTCTCACTTTACGCGCTTCGAAGAGCGTCCTCGGGAAAAGGGGCAAGACGCGCAAAACGTTGAATCGCGAGCAAACGTTGACTTTTGTTGGCTTCAGTTATCTCTGAAAACTTTAAAAACAATCTGAACGAATACCGTCAGCAGAATGGCTCGGATTTGGTTGTAGCTTTCAAAAACTTCAAATTAATTTGAATGTTAAAATTAGAGATGAATATTTATGAGTGGGTGGTGAAAAACAATGACGTTTTTCACTCTGATGGTGGTTATGAAGGTGTGGTCCCCAGAGTAGCTTTCTCATCATTATTATCATCGTCGTCCTCATCTGATTCTCAAGTTTGAGAATCACGGCTCCAGGAAACTACACAAACGCACGCGAACTAAATTGCAACCCCCTGATTTCTATGCCCTTCAGTTGACTCTAATATCCAAGTTAATTTTCTTACTCATTTCACGTGTAAACTCGTTAAAATCAGATGCGCCTCTTTTATGCCGATTTCCACTTAGTGGCTGTCAATCTCTTTGGAGATCTCTTTGTTGGTAGCTGCCCAGTCTAGTATCGCCTGTTACAGCTCACTCTGCATTTCCCACTTTGTAGAGATGGGATCCCGCAGTTCCTCTCCGCCTTCTCAGAATAGCCCCTCAGGACC